TTGCAGGGTGATGTGGCTGCTGGATAATTCGGTGGATCTACACATTTGACCCCACCTGTTTACCATGCTTGTTTGCAAATTAAAAATCCCTGTCTTCTGTGGATGTACTGCCCATGGCTTCCCACAAACAGGGCTTTGTTTGTTGGGGGGACTGAAAGAGAACATTGAAACCTTCAATTCACACCACTGGGAAAAAAATGAAAATGGAATCTGATTTGTACACAATGAATACATCTGTATCTGCAATTTCCCTTATGCACACTTAGATGCTTCTATTTCTGCCATATTGGCTCCTATAGTTAGAAGACTAGTCACATGTGTAATTCCTAGAGTGTTAGAACAGGTTGTTCAGTTTCTGTAGTAGAATGTCAATAAACCCAGTGCACCCAGATTTCAATGATTTTGCCACCAGTTACTCTGTTGATGGAATGCAAAAGCATGACTTGTTTATGACCTCTAGGCATTTAACATAATCTTCCTGTTCAAGAACAATATGTGGTCTCACACACCATTTACTGTAGCTTATAAAATCAGTGAGGCATTTCAGTCACATGGACATTGTAAAATGCCCTTGTAGGAGGACCTCCTTAGCAAAACAAAACAGAAAATAACAAGAACATTTACTGGGTGCACATTTACATCCTACCTGTTTGAATTTACAATATTTCTGCACAGAAATAAAGCTGCAAAATAGGGAGGTACATATGAAATGAGAGTCCTCTGAATGTCAAATTAGAGGCTTCAAGGTGCAGATTTCTACTGCACACGTGGAGCAGCCCAAGGATAACAATGTACTGTAATTGTCCGCGCTTGAAAAAGCAAAAACATTAAACTGCTGAGTTAATGACTTGTGTTGGTCTCAGGAAGACTGAACTTTTGTGGTATACTTTGTTTCCTAAACCATGTATTATGTTGTTTTAGTGTAGGTTAAGGGAGAGAGGGTGTGAAGCTCAGTTTGGGGATAGCGTTATAACGGGGATTAAAGGGGAACTGCAGTCGCAATTTCTCCAAGAGGTTATTAAATCTCGGTAACAATTAATTAATTACTTACTTAATTGATTAATTGACGGTATTGCACAATTTGACAAATTCAGAATTAAGCACACTGGAAATACCTCACCGGAAATTTTGTTGTCTCATTCTGAATCACAGACTACAACGGCAATACAGCGCTGCACATATGTGGAACTTTTGTCTATTTTGTGATGTAAATTGGAGGTTTAACAAGTTACTGTGCACGTTTTACTTTCATTCTGTTTGAAATCCACTCACCAGTGGCGATTCTTTCTGACCCCAAAATATGAAAATAGCTTTTCAGTGCCCATTAAGGATGGGCCAGTTTACCTCCCAGTATGTCTGTGGCCTGTGGGAGGAAACTGGAGCACCTGGTGGAAACTCATGCTGACACAGGGAGAACATGCAAACTCCACACAGACAGCAGTCTGGGAATTGAACCCAGGGCCCCAGCACTGTGAGACAGCAATGCTAACCAATGTGCCAATCTTGTTTAAAAAAACTGCTCGTGATTTTCTTTTGAGAAATAAAACAAGATGAGGTACAGTGTACTTCATTACTGCCATTGTCACTATTTAAATGACATTGTTAACAGAAACAAGTATATCATGAATCATAAGCATCAAGGAAGAAGACTTGTTTTTACACAAAGGATCTGCTTTCTGATTAGGACAGAAAATGCCTGTCACTATCACTTCACTGAATTCCCCTTCAATATCAACCGGAGAAGACAGTTTGCACGTTCAAGGGTCATAGGAAGCATTCAAGACTAGAAAGACTGGGTAAAGAAAAATTAAGACAAAATGAAAAAATACGATTTTTTATTTCACAGCCGTTTTCTATCAAAATAGATACCACCAGATGTGTACGCCTCGAACAATAAACATTTAAACACCCAAGGATTTATTTAAAAAATCTTTTGAATAATTTACCAAAAAAAAGCCCTAATTTATAGTAATATTACATCGCTATTGTTTAATTAAATAAAAGCGGAATTGTAATTAAGTACATTGCCATCATAACTTGGTCAACTTCACAGAACGAGCGATGATTACGACAGATACTGAAACGGATATTTCTCAACGAGACAGACAATGAAATACTGAAGGAAGTGCAATGAGTGGTTTCATCCTGTCCGATTCTTAAGTGGAAAATTACCCAAGACGGAGGTTTTTTTTTTAAATCTCAATATGTCCACTTTGTATCTAATCCCATAACCAGATAAATCAACTGAAAAGAAAATCACGTTTATGACCACACGTTTATACACACTTTACTGGAGCAAAAGGTTGTTTGAAGGTACAGCATGAACGAATTTACTTCTTAGTGCCTTTGGCCGTCATTAGATGCACCTTTTTGCATGTGCTAACGGGGAAAGAACGAGCAAACACTTGTATAGTGACTTTCACAGCAATCAGGCTTTACAGCTTTACGGCTTTCAAGGGAAATCGGCGCATCAGAATAGGATGTGATGTTAGTGGAGGACGCAGCGGTGGGGGAATTGAAAACGTGAGCTATCTCCACATTGTACATTGAATAACCGCTATCACCACAGCCGCCACGATTACCGCAACGAGACACGTAAGCACCCATCGCGCTGTGGCGCACGTTAGTCTACTTCGCCTTCTTGGGACGGGAATCACGCTGGTCACCGCCGTCACGCTGACCGCGTCCTCGTCCGCCATGGGCCGGCCCTGGCTGGTGATTGTGAAAATCTGGAGGGTGGGGGCAGGGCCGGGCGGTCGGGAGCTGACCCTTCTCGACGAAGCCCTCCGGAAGAACCTCACGGCTCGGCTGGCTCCGCTGTCACCGGCCCGCGGGGGGGCGCGGCCGGCGGCGTGGCGGGCCGGTGATTGCGGCGGAAGGGGGTGATGGAAAGGGGGTACCGGAGGAGGAGGAGAGAGGGTAACTTCCAAAATCTGCGCGTCCTTCCTGGCGCTCTTGACCTTCACAACGTCCGCCCCCTGTTCGGTGAGGAACGTCAGGTGCCTGCACATGGGGCAGATGATGTGCCTGGTGATGTGCCCACTTCTGTTGGCGCCGACCAGAGTCTTGACCAGACAGTCGTGGCAAAAGCCGTGTCCGCAGCTCAGAGTCCTTTTGTTGTCCTTAAGGGTCTCGTAGCACACGGGACACTCGTCACTGCCGGCCCCCGTGCTGTTATCCCCTGTAGACATGCCTGCCGTTTCCCACTTCACTCCCCCAGGAGGTGACTGCAGTCAGAGCGCATTACAGATCACCCCGCATCCCAAGCGATTCTTCTCCAACATCGAAAGAATGCGCCGACTTCCAGCTCCACTACAGTATGTCCTTCTCAGAGCCCTGTTCAGCCCTGCGCTCGCCTCATCCTGAGCCCTGATTGTCTTTTAACTGATTGTCACCAGTGTGGTGAAGCGATACGCTCCCTGTCCGAGATCCAATATTGTGTCAACAAGCCGGTTATCTTAATTCACACAAGACATCGAGCGCCTTCGTGACCGCCAAGGTGTGCCCACAGATTCCTTTACATTGGACGATCAAAAGGCTGAAAAACCGGATTGTCTTTGGACTTTTTGTTTTACTTGAATTCAATAAATTACTTATAAAACAGCCCTTATGAAAAATACTTATATGTTTATACATAAACGAAGTCTGGTTTCTGCAGAGCATTTTGACGTTCTGATGTAGGTCATCTATAGGTTAAGGGACAACACTATATATTTGTTTATACAGCACATTCCCCGGAATTATCACGAGTTAGGTGGAAAAGATACCTGACCACATTTTTTGTTTTCCCCTGTAGAGGTAACACAGGTAACACAGCTGAGTGAAAGGAGTTCTGAAACTCGGAAATAAGCGTATACGGTTGATAGCACTTACGCAACATTTTCAAAATACTGAAAGCAAACGTAAAATCATAAATATAAAATCGCGATCAATGAATCTGTTATTAAGAACTTTGTCCCTTTGTTAAGAGACAAAACACTAAAAGACCCGGCTCTCACAGCACTAGATTTGTCACTATTTTAAAACGGTATTTATTGTTAATAGGGTAATAAGCCACTTTGGGACTAATTGAGAGGCACTGTGGCTGTGATTAATTGGCTCTTGTTGGACGGTGTTACTTTTTCTGTAAACTTTTGTTTTGATAACCACTTCTAAAGTGATAGAAACTTTTACTTGTTTTCTTGTGTAATTTAATATGTAGTACATGCAATACGTTGTTTGGGAAAAAAAGAACACCAGATAGTGTATTTCCCCTTTTTTTCTTTTTTTTTTTACACGAGTCGGGCATTTGGCGGCTGCAGATCTTCCACCAGTCGGCGCACGACGATAAAAAAGAAACGAAACATTGGAAAAATACGGCTGTGTAATTTAGGTGCCGATTTTTAGGTAGACATAGGTGCGTGACATTGCTAAATTAATTTCTAAATGAACGGGCTCTCCATTCGTTTAATTGTATAAAGCATTTAAGTTCTACGATTTTTATTAAGTTGCTAAAAATGACATTCATACGTGTAAAAAAAAGAATTCTCACGACTCAAGAAAAAATGTGTGGCTGTAGTCATAGCATTAAAAAAAAGTATCAAATGATATTTCCAAGAAATCTGAGTAATCCTTGAATTCCAATCGGTGTGCAGTTGCGTCACCCGGAGGGAAGGCCGTGCGCGTCTGTGACGTCACGTCGTGCCGGAAGTTGCGTGACCCCGGTGGAGAGGGGCTGGAGAGCCGAGATTCAGTTACTAAACAGAGAGGAGACAGGGGATGTGCTGAGACCCAGACGCCCAGAGCGATACGGGCCGGCGATGTTCAGGTAAGGACTAGTCTCCACGCTCCGAAAATGCCGAGCAGGGTTTGAAGCGGCGTGTATTTTACGCGGAATGGCTGCGGTTCGACGGGGGGAAGGCGACGCCGTCGTTGTTGACAGCCGACTTCTGTCTGACGTGTCATGTTTCTAGGCAGCAACTTGAAATTCCCACTTGCACAAAGATCGTATCTCTGGCTGGCTTGAAAATATGTCACCGAGATTAGAAAAAAAATGGTGCGGTCTGCTCTAGGTCTTGTATGGAGTAAAGGGCCGTTTTTGGAGACGTCAGGTAGCTCTTCGGGTATGTATTTTTAACTTGTTACTCTAAACAACTTGCGCTTCACCTAGTGTGACTCGAGCTGTATGTTCTTTTGCCCGTAGATGCGTGTCCGTTTGTCACTTTTCCAAAAGCTTTGGTTTTTACAAATTGTTGACTCGTAATTGTGAGCTAACGAGGTTAGCTCCGTTCATTTCAAAAGGGACGATGCTAAATTAGCTTATTCAAATCGTTTTTTGTAGGTTGTTAGACTGTCATTGCTTGAGATGGGCTGTGTACTTTCCTCGGACACGACTGTTATATGTTAGCCTCTTAGCTTTTTTTAATGTTCTCCAGTCTTTTCCAATGAAGACTCACCAATGGTACCGGTTTTTGATTCTCGGGTGCGGCTTGTCCCATATTACGTTTCTCGGGCTTGAACTGCAAGAGGGTCAGTCTAACCTCTGATGCTCCCGCCCTTCATCCGTGTTCATTGGCTGGGATCAGGATGTGACGTATACATTTCGGTTTTAATTGGGTAACATGACTGCCACTCAAACGGCCCTGCTGTGTGCAAGTTCCCCACGCTTGACAGAAATAAACCCATGAAATGTAGGATTTATCAATCACGTTTTTTTTTTTACAAAACTCTCTATATATCACATATCGCGTAAAGATGACACTTTCGTAATGCAAACCGTTGTCACAGATAAACAGAGCTGTCCTCTCTCTTGTTCGTTGATTCTAGACAGTCCACAACGTTGAACTGGAATATTCAGACTGAAGGAAGTGTTTTTAAAATTCTTATGTCATTCCTGTGGTTTATTTGAAGTAGCGTCTGTTTAAGCCTTCGATAGTGTGTATGAGTTCAGCACAGTAAATTTAAATTGGTATTCTTTCATATTAATAATGCTTGAATAAGAAGGTGACATTTCACATAAGTTTATCAATTTACATTGATAGGTTGTTTACCTTTTTACAACTGACCTAAATGTGAACTATTTATAGAATCATGGGAACATGGTTTTTGATGAAATGTCAGCCAGGAGATGACCTCCACATGATGTCTTTTAAGTTTTAATTTCCAGCAAGTTGAATCTCTTCCAGTTTGTTGTATGGACTTTTATTATTGGGTGAATCGTTAAATAAAAAGGAGAATGAAATATATTCTTTTTGGTCTTAAGGCTGAGGAGTGAAATTTTGGTTTTCAGGACTCTTTACTGCTTCCTGAGTGGGAAGTTACTGTTTTTACTTTCGCACTTTAACGTTAATCAACTTGCTATTGCCCTGGTGAATGGGCATAAATTGGTAAAAGAATGTATCGGGCTGACACGGTTGTCCAAAACAGCAGATATTTGCACCCATTTATACATCTGTGTGTTTTACTGGAGAGGCTGAAACAAGTCCCGATCTCTAACCATTGCTCCATACTGCTGCACTAAGTACATAAACAAGCACGGCACTGCTGGCCTGGCAGGGATCGAACCCACGTCCTGGGTGTTATTAGTACCACATGTTGACCAGCTACTGTTTTATCTCTCAGGACGTCTTGTTTCTCACAGCAGGATGGACTACATCATGTGTTAACCTAGGAGAGGGGTGGGTGAGAGAAGTTTGCAGAAGCATCTCATTTGTCCAATATCTTCCTTGCGGCTTCACCGCAGTGACTCAACTTGGCCCTGTTAAGACGGAGGGAGAGAAAAGGCATAAATTGCTTTCTACCATATTAATGACATCCAGATGGGCTGGGGTGGCTAGAATATGTGCTGGCAGAGGTCGTGCTGGTTTTACTGGAGGTGACGCAATAGTTAGATCATGAGAATCTGTAAACGTGGACTTTGGTTTGTTGCTTTAACTTTCGTTGTAGTCTCCTGAATGAGTTCATGTTCTCTTATGCAGGGTGTTCTTCTAATCTAGCTTTTTGTATGTGTGGTATCCTAATGAGATTTTATATTTAAAATAGACTTATGTATAGAATGTGTCCTGTAGTGAAAATGTATATACCACATAATTGCTGTACTCTTTCTTGCCATTTATTATTCTTTGGGCTTCTTCTGTCCTCACTGTCTGAAGGTAAACATTTAAACAGTCCCGAGTGTCAATTTCTGTATTGCATTACACATAGTTTCACTTTTTTAAACTGTCTAAATAAAGCTTTGCTCTCATGTTTATCTTGTGGGTGAATTCATAACACTGCTTTAAATGTGATTTGGGTTTGTGATCCCTATAACATCAAGAAGTAGTAAGTCAGTCTTCATGGCTTTGATTTTCTAGTATGTCCGTAGCTCACCTATCAACCAGTTTCTCCTTACACAGTGCATTATAAAGACGTGTATTTATTGAGAAAATCCTGCTGGTTCATCTTAAGTCATGAATGCAAACCACCAAAGTCCCTGTATCTTATAACCAATCTAACATAGTTGGTATTGACAAGTTCCCCAATTAGTTTATACTTTACTGGATTATTATATATTATGTTAAAATGCTTGGAAATTGAAATTCTTACCTGAACTGCCTATAACGTTGAACAGGGAAAGTGTGTTAAAATCAGTCATTGATTTGGCAGAATCCAGTGTTTTTGTTTATTAGTGTAGAATGTCCAAAAAAACAGAATGTCGTTACTTGGTTATCATAACAATAGCACTGTGAAATAGTAACTTCTATTCATATATATATAATTTTTGTACTTGAGAATATAGAAGTCCAAGTGTTGTCCACTGAGAAAGGGGAGTGAATCAGAACATCTGAGGTAATAGTGTCCTGTCCAGGTCCTGGAGCACCGCAGTGCCTGTGGGTTTGTGACCCAGCTGGGCTCTTAACCTCCGTTAGCCCATTGTCAGCTTAGCTGGACTAGCTTGACTTTTCAGGTGTTGGTCATTTTTAAGACTCACTAAGATCATCTGATGTAGCCTTGTTCTGGGCTACAGACTTTCTCTTACTGTGCAGGCCTGTGGTGTTTGGCATGCATGGTCATGTCTTTGCATTTCGAAGCAGTGTTTGTGAGGGTAAATATAATCTTCAGATACTCAAATTTACTTATAAAGGTTTGGTATCATTACCATTCTTAGCTGGTATAAGGTTTGATGTGCTGTAGATACAAAACACAAATGTGAAAATATTTAGTTTAAGAATAGACCTTTCCTTTCAGTTTTCTGTGGACTGCTTTGTTGAATAGAAGAATGCAGAAAGATGTCTGGAATTTCCCAAAAGCATGTGATCAGGACTAGTTTGTCTTGTGGCTTAGATGTGTAAGGTGCTTTGAAGTGAAATATGTTAAAAACCTAGAATGATAAAACATCTGACTGGCGTTGACGCAATCACCCCTTTTCCACTAAGATCTCTAATCTAGAGTTATTTTAAAAGTAAAATGTCTTTTACTGCAGAAAAAAAAACACATTTTCCAAGAGCCACAACCTTTTTAAAGTTGTAACAATAGAGCCACAGCAGCAATTGGATTTTAACTGTCCTGTTTGCAATAGTTCATTGTGGTAAATAAGTCTGGCTGTGTCATTGTCCACCATGGGCGGCTGGCATAATGTTCATGGAGAGCTTTCACATCTCTTAAAGCTGTAATGGGTGCGTATGATCCACTGTGCTCTCTGTCAGTGGTCAGTAAATTCATTACTGAATTGGAAGCAAATGTGTGGAGCTTAACTCACTGTGACCAATTGTCTTGGAATGCACAGAAGGTGTATTGAAGAAAGTAAACAGCTGCAAAGCCGCTGAGATTTTGCAGCTGCTTTTATGTTCAGCCCTATATTACAGAGAGGCTTTGTTACAACTCGGCACAGGTCTAAGGGTATACCCCCAATGTTCTGTTAGTCAAACAGAAGAAATGTTACACTGTGAATTCAATCTCTGTACACTTGTTCAGCTTATGAAGAGAACTGCAGGTTTGGATGAAAGGCACATCAACCATGTTAAAGTGACAGTGCTTACAGCAGGAGCAATTCTGAATTGGGCAGTGCAGCTCGTGTCTCTTGACTTTGTTCTTGGCAGCCTCTACAGAAGAACAGGTGACAGTCACAAGGTGGCTTGGTGTTGTAAAGCAGTAGGTGGGGGGCTGTATCCATCGACTCAATCCTTTGTTTTATTACAATGGATGTCATGAGAGAACTGAACTATTGATGAAAACAATACCAATTTTAACGTGAACATCCATGGAATGTAATTGTTGGCTTTATATTGAGTAATTTTAACAGTAAGGTTTAACAGTCTTGCTCTAATTTGATTTATTTTCCCTTGTTTTGAGCTGTCTTCATTTTTAGATTCTCGTGAGTTGTCAAGATGACCCCTGTTAAATGACAGAAGAGAGGCGTATAATCTCTTTCACTGTGGAGTAGAGTTAACAGCAGGTTTATGGCTTTTTAACACAATGTGACAAAGTCTGGAAATCCTCTGTCACTATGAGTAAGAGTATTTCTATTTACTAATGAAAGGTTTGTGAAGCGTTCAGTGTTAAAAATACTTATGGACTTATTTTTAGAATAAGCTTGAACAGTAACTTACATGTTAATTAGGTGTTCCACTCATTTCACCTTTCATTCAGGTTATGTGTTTTATTCTGGTATGTTAAGCATAAGGCTTTCATTGTGTATTATCCTTTTAAATTATTTTCTGCTGGGAGTAATGTAGAAGGAGCTCCTGAGAATTTAAAGCAAGCAGATGAGTATAGCAGCATTGTCATGTTTAAAACTAAATCCAACATGACAATAATAAGGATTCCTTAGTGTTACATGGTGCAGATACAGTATGGAAAATGACCTGTTTTACTTCTGTTTTTTCTAAATTATGGAAGAAGGTATTTTTTTTTTCCCCCATCTCCAAATAAAGGCTCTTTTATGTGCTGAGGCATCTCTGGGTTCTCCAGGCTGTTTAGTATGTGAGTGGCAACAAAACTGATACACTTAGGCTTTCAGTTTATCCCTTCTGCTTTTTCTTCACCAAAGATTGTATCTTTGTTTTTCAAAGGGAAAAAGATGAAGGAGGCTTTGATGGCGAACTTCTCACAATATTGATTCTTTCCATTATAGCACAAACTGGGACCTTGCCCCAATACAGCCAATATGTGCTTTAAAGTTTATGACTCTCCAAGAGGATGAAAGACTAAGATGTGTGCAGAAAAGTGCAACAGTGCTCAGTTAAATGGAATAAAAGTTTGCATTATGTCTTTGAAAAAAACCTGCATCATTTAAAAGTTGCAAAACATTTATGCATCTCTGGGGAATTAATTTATACCCAGGATATAATGAAAGCACCGAGGTGATTTTTGGAAGTTGCAACCTGATGTCTTGTACTGTAAAGGTGTGGTGCTTGAAAGAGCCTGTCGGATGACCCTTTAATTTTTTTACAAATGAGGAAGTAAAAAGACAGGCTGAGGGTGAGGGGCCTGTGCGAGAAAGGGGTAGAGATGAGAGGACAAGGATATGTAATTAAGCAATCGAAAGAAGTGAAAGCAAAAGTTTCTGGATTGGCGATAGTCCTGGGAGATGTCATTCAGCTTGAGGCTAAAGTGTACAGTAATACAAATTTCTGCGTCCCTGTAGGGAGGTGGTGTGGGGAGTGAATTCTGCTGAATTGAAGTTTGTTGGAGACAATATTGATTTTAGCAGTCCAGTCCAGTCATGATTAATTTCTCTTATTTTTGTAAGAGAGGGCTAACTGTTGCAAGTGGATTTTTTTTAATGCCAGGAGCTGTGGAAGATTTTGGCACTAGTAATTGTTTTGCCTACTGCAGTGGTTTGTGATGATCAGTACAGTTATGGTGCTTGCAGACTGTCTACAGTAATCAGTATTTGCAGTGTCATGATTAAGTAAATGTCAGAATGATCATCATTCTGTTGTCCAGAATGTTTATGTATACTTTTCTATCTCATTTCTTAAGAGTGTTTTTTCTAGTCTGTTCTCTTTGTTTTTTACAGGTTTATTTACCATGGACACAGAGATGATACCAAAATTCTCCTCAAAAGATGAGGAAATTGATTACTGGAAATCCCTTTCCTTGAAGTACAAAAAAAGGTATTTGTACGCTAATGTTATATCAAAGCTGCGGACTGAGAAGGGTTTTGTATATTGTTCTGATGGTTCTATTTTTGTATGTTGCTCTGGTGTTTCTGAAGTCACTGCTTCCAATATTCTGCTTGAACTTGAACTTTATTGCCATATGTAACTGGTACAGAAAGTCTCTCAATTGTTAAAAGTAGCTCTTATGCAACATTCTCATAAGATATTACACTTTAGTGACTAAAGGATTTAGTAGAAAGGGAAAGTCTTTGGAGTTCAGACTTGTTAATCCTTGACAGTGATGAATTTAAATTTAGATGTCCATCTAGCGCACATGACATTAAACTAAAATGTGGGATGCTTGTGAACTTGTTTGTAGATTATTCTCTGCAACCTGTTGGATAGTACTGTAATTGTTTTTTTAAGGTGATGCTCTGCAGCTCTAGTTATTTAGTATAAGAACTTGTTAGGATTTTGACAAACACAAACTTTATTGACCTGGGTAGGGGTTTTCCCAAATTTACATTGCAGATGTTTAGTAGACAGTCTGTCGCTTTTCCTGTAAGGTTTATTTTTAGGTCCCTTGGATAGCTTACCAGATCCAGTTGCTTTCTTCTTTAGTGAATGTGGTTATGTGAAGTAATGAGAAAATCATTGCTTTGACTGTTCATTACCATTTTGCTTGAATAAATCCCTCAGAAACTGCAAACTCCCTGAAATATTTGTCAAGTTCTTTAGTCCCATGTCAGCAATGTCAAGTCCTTCAGGAAGCCAAAGCATGACTAAGGACATTGTGCAAGTCACAGCAGTGATGAGCTCACCCTCCTAATAATGTTTAACTTGGAAGTAAACAGCTTATAGTCTTAAGTCTTAGTCTTATAGTCTTACTCCTGTAAGACACGAGTTTGCTGTTAAAGTTGTTAATAATACTTTGCTCATTTAAAAGCAAATGCAGAATTAACCTGAGTTGCACTACCTTAAGAAACTACTGTTCATCTTAAAACCACAACCCCAGACATGTCTTTTTAGGTATAAGTACAAAACAGCTGCCACTTAACTTACGTAATACCACAGTCCAGAAATGCCCACAGATGGTAGCTTCACTGTTGGGAAAAGTATGATTAACCTGTTTACACAGTTGTTCCCTTGGTGTATATGAAGAAATATTTCAAGAACTTGGCCATATGCTAAGTTCTTAACATTGCTTGCCACTGTTCCATGAAAATGTTGCCAGTTGGTAGTGTTCGAACTAAGTACCTCCCACTAAGTAGAAAGTAGAATAAAATAAACACTCTTGTAAACCTTGACAAAAAAGTGCCATATCTCTGTATTTTAAGGACATGTCTGCATTCCTCAGTAAGCATAAATAGTTTTTCTATTGAACTTCTTAGGAGGAATTACTCAGACCTTAGAAACACTAATAGTTTAGTCACTAATGTGTTTTTCCTTCTGTGCTGAGTAGTACCTTGTAAGTAGCGAGTCTCGGGATATCCCCACAGGATATCTTTTTTTTAAAATATTAGTTCTGTGATTCATGCGAAGAATGCTAGTTGGATGCAGAAGCAGCAGTAATTTGGGGTTAAAAGGTCTCTGCTATGCTTGTGTCCCATTAAAACGCCTCCCCTCCTCAATGGGACGCCGTCACATGGCCCAAGTTAGTGTGAAATAATTGGGTGAACAGCGATTTGCCATTTTTAGACCACTGACATGAAGCCTAGGGCACAGGGACCAGAGTGTGTTTTTCTCATTTATATTTGTCGTACATTCCTTTTCATGACAACTACTGTACAAATTGATGAAACTAGAAAAAATATTCCAAGGTATAAATTATTTGAAGTCAGTAGAGATGGGGAGATTCAAGGAATTTACAATAGAACATCTGTAAAATGGTATTTAAAGATGGCATTTAAAGTTCTTTATTCTTTATTGGGAAGTCACATTTGTACCTAATGCAATAGGTAGTACATTTCTATGAGTTCAGTAAATGATTTATACTGCCTATAATTTATTCGGTATCCTTCACGGTTGGTGTGAATCATTAAAATACAGAGTTTTTAGACTCCTTGATGCTTCAATGATGTTCTTGGACTTTGAAGATCCGTTTTGAAATGTCAGAATTGAAATACCGCTATAAACTTAGCACAATAGTATCATCCTAAGGATATCCCCTTGTCAGCTTCTCTAAGAGGTTAACTAAGAGGTTGTTTTTTTTAACCCCAGTTGTCAGGAAGCCCAGGAGGAACTGCTGGAGTTCCAGGAAGGAAGCCGGGAGCTGGAAGCGGAGCTCGAGGCGCAGTTGGGGCAGGCGGAGCACAGAATCCGAGACCTGCAGGCAGAAAACCAAAGACTGAAAAATGAAGTCGATGCTTTGAAGGCAAGCGTCCAGATTTGAGATCTTAGGTCTTTTGGTTTAATTGCTGCTGCTGCTGCTGCCCTTTGAATGCCCTTGAATTTTAAAAAGACGTTGACAATTTTTTTTTGCGCGCTAGCTAACCGATAAATCGTATTTCCTGCAAATGGCGGCCCTGTGCCTTCCTGGGTTGTTAGTGAGAGGTATGCCTCTCTTTTTATTTATTTTTTATTGGTTCTGAACCTGTCGCTGCAGAGCTTGTAATTGGAGTTTTCTGGGTACCTGAAGACTCTCGGTCGCGCCTGTGGGAGATGAGCCTCCCTTCCAGCTGACGCTGAGCGTCCTGTTTGTCTACGCAGAGCTTGTAGCACGTTGGGGGTCGGAGGAGCCAGTAGGCACTTCCTCATTCTCGCGGTCGATTCCTGTGCGCTGAAAAGCAACGACGATTCCAAATTGCCCGTATATAATAAAACAATCTGCGAAGTTACGACAAGGGTTAAATAGTAGCTGTAGTGATATGATATGCGCAGTTTCATTGTAGTCAGGTTACTCACGGAACCTTTTGTGCAAAAGTTGGGTTGTTGTTTGTTTGCTTTAGTATTTGGTCAGAGTACGTACAGAACTGTTTTCTAACTTAAAATAGATTTTAACATAATGTGTAAAGAAGAACTTAATGCTTCCTGTTTTATGCAGGCTGAAAACTTTCACACAGAACTTCTATGCAGTGGTCAGATGAAAGCGTGCAGATAGCTAAATTAGGAAGGCTTTGCAAAGGCTTTTTCCCCCCAGTCTACTATATTGGTTCAAAGACTCACTGATTCGTTGGCTGGAAGACTAAAGCAGTACATGTGTTCATGATGGGATGATCAGGGTGAGGGGAAAAATGTTGTATGCATTTGCTCACAATAATGTCAATCCAAGTGTGTGTTTTGTAGCATGCAGGCGTTAGCACAATGATGATGCCAGATTACACCATAGTTCAATGTGTTGGGCTTCTGCAGCACATTTGCCTGAGGTGTTAACCTCGTGAAATCCCATACCCCCTTTTTTACTGATCTCTTGCAGCAGCCTCAGTAGTTAGCAGCAAAATCATACTTGTGGTGCAAGTTGGGTTTTTGGTTTCACTGCTTCGTGTTGCTGGATGTGCGAGTCATTGTAGGTTAAGGTAATGCTGGTGGAATGCAAACCATCTTAAGTGAAACTAACTGGTTCTTTCGTAATGTGTGAGCAAGTCACCTGAGCAGGAAGTGTACATTTCAAAGAAATGCGTTTTAAGCATACCACTAAAGTGATAAACGTGCTTTTAATTGATTTGATTGAGTGTCTGATCCATAAAGTGAATTGAAAAGATGGCACAATAATCTGTGCAGTTGAACTTTAGGATATGAGTCATGTACACACTTCTTCTCTTTGGCTAAACTGACAAAACACAAAAGTTCATGCAAAAAAAGTTGAAAGGATGTGGGCTAATTCTTCTTCTGCTTGGGGCAGCCGGCTCATTCTTGTGACCAACATTCTAGCATTTGTCTCTTCAAGGAAAAACTTGAACAACAGTATTCTCAGAGCTACAAGCAGATATCCATGCTAGAGGATGACTTGGGACAGACGAGAGCCATCAAGGAGCAGCTCCATAAATATGTGAGGGAGCTGGAGCAGGCGAATGATGACCTGGAAAGAGCCAAGAGGTGAGGAGAGGGTGAATTGAGCAACCTTCAGCCTTAGCTAAGGGTTTTGTTTGCAGTTCATTAATGTTTTACATACAGAGTAAAACCGACCACAATGTGTTACCACAAGTATGTGATCGCACTTCTAGTAAGCTGTAACCTTTAAAATATCCTTGATTTCTTTTTTCTTTAGTGCACTGTGGAATTTAAGTTAGTAAATGTTTGTATTTCCTTCTTTTCTAGAGCAACAATAGTTTCTTTAGAAGACTTTGAACAGAGACTCAACCAAGCCATTGAAAGAAATGCCTTTTTAGAAAGTGAGCTTGATGAGAAAGAGTCTCTCCTTGTGTCTGTCCAGAGATTAAAGGATGAAGCTCGAGGTAGTGATGTTTTCTTTTTGTACTGTTGATGATGACTTGTTGCTTTTGTCTTCAGTGTAGATATTAAGTGGGCATTCTTCTTCATGATAAAACATTAACAAACGTGCGATTTCATCCTTGCATTTCTTCACTATTCTTGAAGTGATTTCCTCTTAAATGGGACTTTTTCCAGTGCTGTCATGAGTCCAAAAAAATCAGAACAGAAAATGATAGCCTGCTTAAAAAAACATTCACATTTGCCTGTAAAACTATGCCAAGTCGTCTTAAGTATTTTCACAAAGTAAGTTATTGCCCATTCCAAAGCCACAAGTGGAACATTTTTGTGTGGCTGCGAAAAAGAAAATAATAGAGAAATAGCTTGGTCCCTTAAAAAAAAAAAATAAAAAAAAAATTAAAAGCTATTTTTTCTGAAAAATGTCTGTTGGAATTACTGCAAATTGCAATGTGTGGAAATCTCGCAGATCTCCGGCAGGAGCTGGCAGTGCGAGAGAGGCAGACGGACGTGACGAGGATGTCCGCGCCCAGCTCTCCCACTATGGACAGCGACAAGATGGACTCTGCGGTCCAGGCGTCTCTCTCCTTGCCGGCCACGCCTATCGGGAAGAGCATAGACAATGGCTTCTCCAGCCCTAAGGGTACCTCGGCTCTATCTGGGTTCAGCAGCGTTTCGTGGTGAAAGGCAGAATTATATCGGCACAGTCCAAAGTACTAGTGAAGATGACGCTTTCAGAATCCGACACAGGGATGTAGAATTTTGTCGTTCGTGTTACCACTCTAGACCTAGGGTGTTCTATGGATATTTGAAATAACCTATACAGAAAATAGCCTTATTATATTGTATCGGGATGGAAACGAACCCTTTCCATTTGGTGTATAAAACTGTTGTATCCATTGCTTTGTTTTTTGCAGGAATACCAAATGGTTGTAGCAACTCCCCGTTAACTCCATCTGCAAGAATATCAGCTCTTAACATAGTAGGCGATCTTCTAAGGAAAGTAGGGGTATGTAGCTGAACCGTATTTTCTTAACCTATGTGACATGTTTTCCAGTGTTATTTATAGTACCAAGGAAAGGCTAGAGGGCAGTTTTAAGCCTAATCTATATTCTGGTTTTGCAGTTCACATTTCCTAATTTAAATCTCTTGCAGTCCTCCCTTTTTAATTATTCATAGATGTTGAATCACAATCGGTGAAACTCAGATGCCGACTTCCTCTTCAATTTGTCAACGTGTAGTAAAAACTACTGAGAAATACGTCTTTTAAGCACTATATTCTAGGTCTAGTTGAGGTAATTAGATTGTCCCTTTGAGTTTTTAATGGAGTTTTTATTGCTGTAGGTAAGCATTTCTATTGTGGATGTAATTCAAAAGGGTACTGTACTGTATTAAACCTTATGGTCCGTTTGTATTTGCGGTCAATTAATTGTGAAATCTTGGGTGTTGCCTTTATTCCCAGGCATTAGAATCAAAACTAGCTGCTTGCCGAAATTTTGCCAAGGACCAGGCATCCAGGAAGAGCTACTCTTCAGGGCACAGCAACTTGATAAACAGCAACAGTACAAAATTTTCACACTCGCTACACACAACATACTTTGATAAAGCGTAAGTATTCTGCACTACTATCTGCATGCTTTCTGTAAATGTACAGTCAGTGGTGTACATCCACAATCTGTTTTTTATTGAATTTAAAGATCTAAAACTGAAGGATATTATATTTCTCCAAATGTTTAACCACATCACTACTGTAAATTCACCTAAGTGTGTCAGTTCTAATTGTTTCCTGTGGGGATTTAAGTGCCTAAGTATTTTGAATATAGAGTCCATAACTACTGTAGATATATAGTATATATAGATATATAAACATAATTCTCTAAAAATATCTTAAAAGGCAGAATAAACTTTTTGCCACTTTCAATTTCCCTCCAATTAGTTTGATTAAAAAAATTGCATACTGTATTGTGGTTTTAAAGATTGAAAATTGTCATTGTCAGTGGTTCCCAACATTGGTCCTAGAGGCACTCTTCTGGCTTTTGCTCTAGCTGGTTTAATTGCATGCTAAATGATTTCAGTTTTCTGTTGAAGGCATTTATAAAACATTGAATTTTGTGTAATTGGTCTCAGCCCTGTACCAATTCCTGAGTCTTTTAACTTGACTCGTTCAGTTGTTCACTTACATGTAACCCATTTAAATTCTGCAGTAGAAAAATAGCTCATTGTTGGAGGATGTGATCATTTTCTATGCAACTCTCTGTCCAGTGGAATAAATAAAAACTGGGGAGAACAGTCTTAATAAACAGATGAAATATTGCAAACAGATCTGTATTCTGAACATCACACTTCAAGTAGGGGATTTTTTAAACCAAAAACTGCAAAAACTGTTAAACAAGACTGAACTAGCAATCAGAATAATTTCAGAAATCGGTAGTTCTTTTGGAACAAAAGCCAGAAGAGACCAGGAATCCCAAGGAGCTTAGCTGAGAACCATTGGTGAATAGATCGTACTACAGTGGCTGGAACCCTTATTCTGCTTGATCTGATAATATGTAATCATTTTTAAGCCTTCGAGTAGCAACCCTAGCAGTATGGTGGGCCTGTAAACCTAGATTAAGAACCTTTGTGATGGGGGGACTTTAAAGGATCTCCTATATTTTTTTTTTATTATGGAGGGCGGTTTTGGCTGAATCAACATTATTTTGCTAGAACATGTGTTTTCTTCCAGCAGGCAGGAAAAGGTCATTTTCCCTGCACTTGTTCTCGGTAAATGTTCATTTACTCTGTATAGGCATATGCATGCTGTCTAATGGAGTCCTGGTAGTGGAAAATATTAACCGTTAGCATAGATATCATTTCCACTAACTGCTTGGGGTTGTGGCAGACGTTGGCTTCTTAACCACACCTTGACATTACATGCCTTTGGGGCTGTGCCTAAATGTGATTTCAAAATGGTGAGCAACAAGTACAGTGTCTGTTTATAGCTCTACTGACTTAATAAAAGTGCTTTCATAATCTAAATACAGTAATAATGCTAATTCAGGATAGCTGGAATAAGTGAGCTTCTGTAGTTATGGGATGTATTGAGGTAAGTATAGTGACCTTCTGTGGTAGAATCTGGCTCTGTGGTGTTTTCCATCCTGCTAATTCCTATCGGGTTTTTCCAATTGCAGTATGTTCCTGGTTTGAGGGGATCCGCATTGTATCTTTTGCTTGTTAACCTGAAGTATTTGGTGTACAAGCTTTAGCAATTTAATATTAATTCTGTTCATTAAGAAAAGCCAAGAACTTTGACTAGTAGTCTTATTTCAGTGCTACTATATAGTAACATGGTTGTTAGTGTCCAAAACTGGTTGAAAACATTTCTTGTGTTTCGTACTATGAGGTGCAGTTGGCATTGTTGCTCTTGAAATGATCCAAATTGCGCACAAGCCAGACTAATACACTGTATGTAACAGAAATCCATTGCATTCATTTCAGGTTTACACCCGATTCTTTCATTTCAACTACACTGTACATTCTTATGTGGTTGAGAATAGTGAATGTAGTTAAGTGCTTTATGTTATGTTTCAAAGTAATTAAGTACAGTGATGTAAAAACAATCAGTGTATGTTATCTTACTATTTTCAGTTTCTAGGACAATTTATAGACTTCTGCCGTAGCGCACAAAATAAAAAAATAAATATATTTTACAAATTTAGCTTCTAAACTGATACGTTACGTGAATTGCTTTTTGTGTTTTATTCTGGAGGTTAAGAAACTTTTCCCACATAAGAGAATAACTGATGTCTGGAGGAGAAAAGTCAAGCTTTTGACATTTAATTTGTGAGTCTTACCCCCATTAAATGTGTCAGACACCACATCTGCTTAAAAATTGATCTGTCTCAGTATTGCACTTGCAATATTTAAAACAGAAGAAACATTTTCAAGAGCTGACATTCCTGACACATTCCTGAGTGTATAGAAACTAGTTCCCTTTCTTAACTGGTGGTTTGTATCTTCAAGAGCCCTCTTTGTCATTTTGGCATCCATGCAGTATAAATTCTAAAGTGTATAAACTTGTGTTTCTGCTTCTTGATTTTCACATTTTCGCATTTTGTCCTCTGCATTGAGTGTTTTGATTCAATAGATTTTCAATTTGGTTTATCTTTGACAATTAAGTCAAATTGGTGGGAAATGGGAGCTGTGTCTTTGCTGAATGTAGCATTACAAATGAGAAAAGTGTAGCCTATTTGATCCACGGATCTCCTGTAGTAATTTCCTGAAAGATGGCAGGGTATTGTCTTGAACAGCGTGGCTGGGCAGGCTCCCACTCATATAACTCATTTGTGTTGTATTGCCTTGTGTTGTAATGGAGTAGCACAGTTAGTTTCCCCGATAATATTTTTATTACCCTAAAATTACATTTTGGCAATTTGTGATCCATTGTTTTATTGATAAAATCAAATATTTAATATGAAATGTTGTTACTTTGATGATTTGAATTAGCAATAAATAAGTTTTCTACTAAACATGAATCTTCAAGCTATCTCTGTTCATATATATATATTGTTTCCTTTAGGTAGCTGCAGTGTTCTGAGTACTTGAAGTCATTTGGGAAGTAGCACAAAATGGATGAACAGTGTCTGCAGAAAGACATGGGGAGTGGGGACATTCTATTCAATGACTCTGTTCTTGTCATTTGGTATAAATTTGTTTCTCAAAAATCAGAAGGCTCTTAAGTTGCATTTGTCCTTGAATGGTTGATGAACATCAGGGACTTCCCCCCTTGTATTAAGGTTAAGAAAGGGCATGCAAAGAGAAAATTAGATGAGTTTGTAGGAACTGGGTGTGCTGTAAAAATAGCATGCTTACGAAAGCTCCCATATTTATGCTAGGACATCTTGGTCAGTGCATGTGCAGTATGACCTTGTTTAAGAACGGAATTGTTTTTAGAAGTTACACCCACTGAATCCTGTATGACCATTAGCAAAGCATGTATGTGGAACTCCTGGAAACATTTGGAAACCGTAAGAATAAAATTCACAGGAGAATGTGCAGCATCTGCATGGCCTTGCAATGGTATGTGGGTGCAGGTCCCTACATTCAATTAAACTTAGTATTGGAGGAGGCAATGGGCTGTTGTGCAGTGAGGCACACTTGTATCTTAACCCATCTTCCATCTCAATAACCTGCTCATTCCCATGACCTTCTCCTCTGTGCCTGTAGATGTGGAGGATTGTTGATACTATAAATAGCAACGTAAATGCTGTCTGTAGTCGACTGAAGGGCTGATAGATTTGCTTCTGTGTAATTGCAATGAATTATTGAATGATGTGAGCATATCAAAGTGTTAGTTTAAGCTTAGTGTCTTGGATTACTTTTTAAGGGTGCTGGGTATGTTTTAGGATCAAAACCTGAATTTCTTCTGAAACATCCACATTTAATGTTTTGCTCAAAGAACAGTCAAAGATGCATTATTATCATAGAATTAACATCAAGCAGTAGAAAACGCAGGTACTCCTGCTGCATTTCAGGAGAGCTGTGATGCCCTGTGCTTCCAGGGTGCAGTAGTGTGAAGGGTAGCATTAAGCACCAGGCCGATATGCATGTTTGTGCTCTGCAGGGCAGTGAACGGGCTGGACCCTGGATCCCTCACAGGACTTGGCTCTCCAAGGTCCGCCTCCCCTCCTGGCGTGCTGCCCCTGAGTGTCTGATGAAGCCGCACCTTGCCACCCGAGCTCCTGGACAGCAAGGGAACAGGCGTGAGCAAGGAGGGACATCTGTCATTCAGCTGCACGTAAAAGACTTGAAAATCGGTGCACATGTCTTCACGCCCTTCATTACAGACCTCCCCCCCTCGTTGGTTGTTCATTGTTGCGTCCAGGTCGGATCCTCCTCGCCCGGCAGCACGTGTTCAGGAGTGTGCTCCCCCTCAGCTGCCAGTGGCTTTGCTCTTTTCCTTTTTACTCGTCTCTCACTGGAAGAACATTGGTTTGTGACAAAGGCCCTCGGTCGACTACAGCATTCGTTTCAAATAAACGTTTAAAAGTTTGTTTTGGTCTATTGCGTGTTGTAAAGAAAAGGGATTTCTTTTAAGCATTTGTTTTAAATTTGTCTGTAAATATTTTGTTTTTCCTGGTGCAATTGAAGGTCCTGTTTGAAACAGTTGATGGTTTCTATAGTGCTGCATCAAAGGCACTTGCTCGTTCACTTCCTTGGACAAAGAAAAAGACTCAACATCACTTCATTTCAAAGTCTGTTTAAATTACCTGCTGTTGATGTGTGGTTATGCAATTTCACAGCAAATGAGATATTTCAGACCTACTTAACAAGCATGTAGCCTTCAAAAAAACGGTTCATATTTTTAAACCAGTTCAGTCTTTTTCTTCTTCAGTGTATCTAGAGCAGATGTAGAGTGAAGGGTGGGTTTAGAAAATCATCCAAATGCAGACTTTGTGCAACATCTGCAAATGTTTCTCACTGGTCATTGCTATACCTGTTCTAAGACATCCCTTTTATTTCTGGCTGCATCTGTCAATACAATTAGCATACAAAGAAAAACAGTCACTAATGAAGACTTAAGACTACCAGCCCTACTCTTTACAAAAACAAAAACCCCTGTGTTTGGGATTTGAATGTTGGATCAGTATTGGTAATCTGGATTGTAATATAGACCATTACAATTTTAACAGTGTAACTAATAAATATACACGTATTGTGACTTAATTGCCACTCACATTTAGTGTTTGCTAACTTTGTAATTGTGGGAATATGTTCAATGTGCCTGTTTTGGTGGGTTTGAAATTCACCAGATTTTTTTTTTTGTTGAAATATCACGTTTCTTGACGCTTTTTAAAAAAGTTTACATTCATAAGTAAAAATTAAGCTAATTTATTTAAGTGGTTGGGTTGAAAATATAATTTGGAGCACTGGTGAAATGTCCCTTTTCTTGCCAGTGCGTTCACAAGATTTTATTTTGATGGTTGTCATCAAACACCATTGCCTGTTTGATCTGTTATATATCCGTGTATATAGGTTTGTAAGCATAGCGTCTCTGCCTAAGGTGTTTGTATATATACTAGCTTAGGCTTTGTATCTTTATTTATTCAGATTCCTTATGGCATGTCTTGAATTGCACATGTGTATTATAATACAGTTGTAACAGATCATTTATCATGATGTAGAATTGGCTGTCTAACCTGTTAATAAAGATCTTTAAATACTAAATTCTTCAGCGTGTTTTATCTACAGTAGCCAAACATTTGTAGTTTTGGAAGTGGCATTTTTGATGGATTTTTTTCCTGGGAATGCAGCCAGGTGTCTGAGCGATGGAGAGCATGCCATTACATATGTACATTAAAAAGCACTGAAGTTAACTGTGTATATATATATAGGTGAGGAAAAGGCAGTCCCATTGTTCTTTCTTAAGTTCTTCTGTTACCTCTTCAGAACCAGATATATTTATAACTTCTATATTCTACATTCAGAATATAGAAGTTATAAATAGGAGATCTCCCATGGATAATGAAGGTGTATTTAGCACAGACCACTTGTGGAACATTTTATGACACATCCTTGCTTTTTTCTTCTCCCTTCCTAGGGCTAATCATACCCAGATGTATTACTTCAGGAGCACTTGGAAATGCAGCTGTGACCATTTACTTGTGGTGTTGGCAACATCTACCCTAACCCTAACCTAAAACAAAGCTGGAATTTAAATCTCTGTAGAGTGAAGGATAGAAAATGACTAACTTAATGCAGAGGGCACAGTTAATATTCCTTTTCTTTGAACAGCTGATATACTCTTCTGCCTTTGCTGTAGAGGGTCATGACTAAGAAATGCATCTACCTAATGTGTCTGACAACACAGATGCTCATGCACTTTGAATGATCAGTTTATTTATGGTAGATGTAATATTCCAATTGCCCATGTTTGCTTTTAATACTAGAAAGAGAAAAAGCTCTCGGACCAAATGTTCAAGATGACCTATATTAGTATAAACTATTAGTCTGTGAGAGAAACTGTTTTGCTGCTTTGATCCAAAGATATTAAGCCCATGGATATTTACTTTGGAGTTTCTCTATTTCAATTCAATTTATTTCTATATAGCAGCTGTCACAAGGTTGCCCCATGGTGCTTAACAAAGCAAGTGACCATTCATTTTGTGAATACAGAACAGAAAAGACCAGAAGGCAATAGAGGTCTTTAGCACCACCTTGTGGAAGAGTTTGCCAAGTGCACCCAGAACAGGCATAATTGCAAAAACAATTCAAGTGCAAGGTTTCAGCTAAAAAAATTATACACTGCATACAATTTGGTAATGAAGCCCCTGCAATGTGTTTCTTTCCAATGTATTCAAAGGTAACTTACTAAACATATGGTATATAACTTGAGTCCCAGTGCTACAACTAACCTAACAACCTCAGAACCCACACTGGATCAGTTTGACAATTTTCAAAGGACTTGTAAAGAGCAAGAATGACAATTTGTGCACCTGTGCATTCAAGCTAAACATAGATCAGACTGGTTTTGTCATAGCAAACCATGAATGAGGGAGGCACTTTACTGTCCACAGTCCCAACCACCTGAGACCAGGTAGAGAAGTGGCAGCAGCTTTATGGATTGAATTAAGGGGGAAAGTAATCAGGAGCATAGGCCCAAGATCAAATGCAATTAGGGTGTCAAGGTTAACACTTCTACTCTTAAATTATTTGCCAAGTAACAGAGCGTATATTTCTGCATCTTAGATCTTGGGTATCTTAAAAAAAAAACACACAGATTTTGAAGATAACTTGCTTTCTGTAATAGACCACATCATAGTGAACAGCCTGTGTGCAAACATCTTACAAAAATTAAACATTTATGCAGCTGTAAAATCACTGATCACTGAAGGTAATCTATATAACAAGAAAAAAAAATCTATAAGAAGTTATATAGTAACTATAACCCAAAGAAGCCCTAAACCACCTACTCACCCTTTACTTTTCACGTCAAGTATACAGAAATTAAAAAAATTGACATCCCTTCAAAGGAAACGAACACATACCAGTTCTAGAATGAATGTTTATTGTCTTTTACAAAAATCATTGTCTAGAAATACAGGTATACAAGAAATAAAAGGAAAGATCTGCAGTCAAATGCCTGGTTGTCAACAGCCAGTTCAATAATATAACTACCCCGTAGATGTTAAAGCTTTTAACCAAATGAAATAACACTTCCTGCACAGGGCAGAAGGCTCATCGTTTCAGAGTTAATAACACTGATTCATACCCACGTAATATCTATAATAGCACTAGAACTGGAGAGGTACATACTGTATATGATATGAAGCACAGCTAAATACAATAAAATCATGTTTAAACGTTATGTTTTTTTTGTTGTAATGTTAGGTACATATGAAGGTTTTCCACTAGTAATGCTTTCTTAGTAGTGTCTAAGGCACTTTTAAAGAAACATCAGTTTATTATATACTAACATTATAACAAATTTCTTTTTTTTTAAACTGAAAACAAAACTATAATAATGGATATGCAGGTCCTGTCACATCAACTCCACAGATATGCAACACCCATGCCGCTGAACTTCATAGTGGCTTCATATTGAATTTCATCTTATTTCAACTACTTCACATTGAAAGGTACATGAATTTTAACATGAGCGTCTTCAAAGACGATGAGGAAAGGAGGGAAAGTGGAGAGAGTGATGCAGAAACGTGACTGTCAGAGAGGCATAGATGCACGACTTACACAGTGACCAGAAAACAAAAAACTGGGCACAGGTTCTGAAGTTCGATTTGTGAAAGACTGCCTAATATGACAAGTTTGACTATTTCAGCAAATGCTTCAAAAACGGTTCCTAAAACTTAAACAAAAAGGAAAGTAAAGATCGCTTCGATGCACAGCAACCCATCTATCCCACTTTGATAAGTAAGACAGCTCTTTGACACAATGCCCACCCAGCCAGTGCAGTTGAAAAGTGAAACTCAGCTTGTGTCCAAGGTCACTGAGAAATACTGCTGTTTGCAGGAGAGACACAAATTAATATTTGCTGTTGAAGAGCAGTGAGGTTTCAGCTCCTGACTAACAAGACCCTCAAAAAACATTGCCCCCAGAAGCAAAAAAAAATAAAATATAGGTCATCAATTATGAAATATGAGATTCCTTCATTGACTTCACAGTAACATTTTCTGTCGAGCACGTTCGCATTTCATTAACGGAAGCAGACGGGTCCTCGCATGATTTCACTTTCCAGTCCTTCACCGGTCCGAGCACAACCCACCGGCACACGATTCTCTTTTTGTTTTTTTGTGTATGACAGAAGCAGTGTGTTCTGTAAATCATGAAGAGACATGCATAGCAACAAAGAGGGGATCCACCCGTGACTAAGTTGTCTTTGAATGCAAATATCGTTTAATGAGAGGACAGTTTTGTTTTACTTCAGCCTTAATTTGCTACAAAATAGTTTTACATTGTTTATCTGGGAGAAAAAAAGAATTACTCCATTTATTTATATATTTATATATATATAAAATGCACTTGTACCTATATTTGTTTAAGCAGATACAGTATGCCAAGGCTAGTTATATTAAGACGCAAGAGATCAGTGATTTACAGCCTTGCAGCGTGGCCAGAGAGGAGCGAGGCAGACTTCTGACCACAGGGCAGCCTGGAGGGCTGGTCGGAGCCGTTTCTCCCCCTCTGCGCTGGCGTGTGGAACAGGGGAGGCTGTAGCGCTCTAGCATGCTGGCTGACCCCAGGGCGAGGGCGAGGGCTCTACTCCACCTGGGCGGCCTGCGTCTCGTTGGCGTCGCTGGCTTTCCCGTCGGCATCGTCGTCCGAGAGCTCCAGCGAAGCCCCCTCGATCTGCAGCTGCCGGCGCCCCGAGCGGCTGGAGGAGAAGCTGATGGGGCCGCCGCGCCTGGGGGACAGCGAGAGCACAGTGGTGTCGGCGAGAGCCCCGCGCGCTTGCCCAGCACCTCCACAACAAAACCCCGCTAAGCCTCTATTTGGAAAATGTAGTGACAACGACCGGTTCATATAGGTATCAAAAAAGCTTCTTCTCATATTCATCTGAGAACAGCCACTGGTAAAATGTGAACAAGAGCATTTCTGCACTGTTTTTTAGGACAGTAAAATAATGATTTTCGTCTTTTGCGCTGCTTTTTTCAAACTATGTTGCAGCTGTGAAGCAGGCTTCATTTAGTAAGGGCACACCTGTGCTGGCAAGCGGCACAAGGCCGAGAACTGTATACGGTATATCTGAACGCCTCACACCGCTTGTTGAAGCTGCGGATGTATAACTCAGAGGATCTAACCAAAGGGAGAGAGCACTGCCAATATGATCAGGATTAGTGCATTAAGAGCAAAAATTGCAAGAAACGATGAGCAGGCCATTAGGCCCATCTGGTAGTTTGGAGCTAACTGACCCGAGGATCTCCTGACAACCGTCAACCCAAACACATGGCCTCATTTCTCCCAGTCCAGCCCAGCGTCCGCTACCTGAGGCGGTTCTTCAGGGTGTTGACCTCGCGGCTCAGGCCCTCGCTGGCCTCCGTGGCGTCGTCCAGCTCCCTCTGCAGCTTGCGGCGGGACGCGTTGGCGCGGGTGGCCTCCTCCTCGGCCTCCTCCAGCTGCCGCTTCAGCTGCTTCATCCTGGAATTGGCCTTCTCCATCTGAGGGAGAGGGAGAGACCCCGTCACCCCACGCCGACTTCGGATCTGTGCGGGCTACGACACGGTTAAACATCGGGATACGTGCCATCCGCCAATCCTGCAATCTTCACGTCGCGCCAAGTGAAGAGGATTAAAAGCCAGCGGGCCTGGCCAGGGAACATGCTCGTCGGACTCACGCAGGGCACCTACAGTACCTGTTCCTTGTACTGGTCTGCATGGCGTCGCTCATCTTCCACCTGCATGAACACCTCTTTCAGCTTCTTCTCCGTGCGGCGGACAACCTTGTTGGCTGCAGCTCTCTCCCTGCGTGGGAAAGAGACCGGTTTAAGCCCCAGAGCACAGCCTGAGGTAGCCGACAGCTCAGACTAGCAAGAACGCCGATGCCAGCAGCTTCCCTCCGCGGTTTGGTACTATAGCGACCTCAGGAGCCAGATGAGGAGTGTGACCACAAGAACACTGCCTGGAGCATAAAAGTCACACACTGGATTGGACAGGATCAAGATTCATTTTGACTGGGTTTCAAACTCGTTCGTTACAGAATATGTCATTAGAATTCTGACTGGAAGTTAAGGTTTTAATCTTTAAATGATTTGTTTCTCACCACAACGAGCCTCCACAGACTGTCTGCTTTGGAAGGGCCACGATTCTAGTGTTAAATGTAATCCTATCAGCCCGAGTGTAAAATTCTCCGTTCATAAAAATCAGATGTTTTGAAACCGCCCTCTGAAACGTACAGCTAAAAGAAGCCATGTGTGATGCGTTTAGACTATTCCTGCCATTCTAAGATTTCCTGGCGTTAATCTCCATGGCGCCAGAGCTGCAGCGACAACTGTCCTGAACCAACGGAGCCCGTGGTGAGCTGGCTGGGTGCCAGGGGACGTTTGTGCTCACTTGGCCTCTTGCTCCAGCTGTTCCTCCAGCTGTGCGATCTTGGCCTCCAGGGCGGCGATGGTGGCCTTGAACTTGGACTTGACGGAGCCCTCCAGCTCCTGCAGCTTGGCCTTCAGCTCCTTGTTCTGGCGCTCCAGCTGCTGCCGGGCATTCTCGCTCTTCTGCGCGGCACTGCGCTCGCCCGCCAGCTCCGCATTCAGGGTGTCCACCTGGCGGAGGAAGACGGGACCGTTGTTACTGCCACTGCATCCCCAGAGCAGCCACCGGGAGGAACTGAAGCGAATTCACTTCTCGAGCTGCAGGCGTGTGTGTAAGCAGGAGAATGCTCCTCCTCCATGGAAGCCTGTGTCAAGGGGACTGGGGCAGAGAGCTGTGCGAATCTGCATGTGTATTCATGAAGCAGTTCCAACCAGTGCCATGTGTATGCAGATATTTTGGAAGAGGTGTGAAGGCAGGACTGTGAGTGTGGGCAGGTGCCGTGCACGTGCTCCCAGGAGGAATTTTCAGGCGCCCCCATCTACCTGCATGGTGGTTTTGCGGAAGCGGTCATTGAGCAGCTCCATGTTGCTCTGCTCTTCCTCCAGCTCCTCCTCCAGCTGGGCAATTCGAGCCTCCAGCCTGCGCTTCTCATCCAGCAGGGCTGACCTGCCACGGACAGACAGAAGCACACAGGGTTCTCAAATCAGCAGGACGCAGACTCAATTAAACAGTATTCGGATCTGCTACCGAAACAGCTGCACCCATCACCACAGACTACCCAAAACAGAAACATCAGTTAACACGGGTTCAAGATGGAATCAAACCGAGCCCTTTTGGGCCCTTAGGATCTTGTGCGTGATCCATTCCCCTGGCGTCTGCCAGCCCAGACTCACTTTCCGGAGGCGCTGTTGGAGATCTCGTCAGCCAGCTCGTCCCTCTCCTGCTCGGCGTGTCTGCGGGCTCGCTCCGACGCTGCCAGATCCTGGGCGGGGAGACAAACACAGGCTCAGACCGCGGATTACAGCACTCAAGAAATGAAAAAAAAAACATTCCACGTAAAAGGAGTGATTTCACAGGTATAATGTGTAAGCTTGGGTGCCTTAGTTGCTTAAATCCTCTGTTCCGCAGTTGGGAATTGTATCTATTGAACTGTACTTTACCTGTACTTGATCTTTGCATACTGTGAGAAAGTCTTTTCTTCAACAGTGTATGAAGGTCAGAGCCGCCCTAGGGCAGAGAAAGCTTTAGTGTTGCAGAAGAGGATAACGCACCTCCTGAAGCTGGAGAATCTCCGCTTCCAAACTCTTGAGCTTCTTCTCGTTCTCCTTGGACTGAGCAAAGATCTCGTCTCGAGAAGCACGGGCCTCCTCCAGCTCGCGCTGGTAATCTTTCATCTGAGCCTAGAACAGGAGAAACAGCCCCTTCACCACAGCAGAACCTCATGGGTGAATAAAACCACTGTATTAGCATGAAGGTATAAAGATGTATGCATAAGGCGAGTGAACATATTCCGATTAAGATAAAACACGGCTGGGCAAACATTTCAGGGGGAAATCGAGAGGTGTGGTTTGCAGGATGAGTACCTGAAGCTTGCGCAGTTGTTTAATGGCTTCGTCGCGGGCCTTGTTGGACGCCTCGATCTGGGCCTCCAGGTCTTTCAGGTCCATCTCCATCTTCTTCTTGGCAGCCACGGCCAGGGCCCTTTGCTTGCGTTCATCCTCCAGCTCCGCCTCCAGCTCCCGCACCTGGGAAAGCAGGGTCAGCGGCACTGCACTGCGAGGCCACGTGCTGGGGTGGCCTGGACTTCACTCGGACAACCCCTGAACCCATCCAGGCGCATGAGAAGTCCCAGGCTTTTGGATGAGGCATTCCACTACAAAATAAAATGACTAGTGCCCACCTTTACAAACCAGCACACAACTTCATATGAACAAGAAATGTCTTGAGAGAAAAGGAAACACAGGGACCTTTTCTCTTACAATTCGCTAGACCAGACACCCCAATATCAACCCGCTTCTGGCTGGAGCCCATCTCCTGCCTCTCTCCAGAACACGGCACCTGCTTGACCAGCATCCGCTTCTTCTCCTCGTTCTGCTCATCGCGGGCCTGCAGGTCCCTCTCGAACTGGGCCTTCATGGCCTGCATGTTGACCTCCAGGCGCAGCTTGGCGTCCTCGGTGGCCTGCAGCTCGTCCTCCAGCTCCTCCAGCTGTGTGCGCATCTCCTCCACCTGCTGCTCCAGCGTGCGCTTCGACTTCTCCAGCTCGTGCACCTGTGCGCATGCGGCCAGGAACAGGAACAGGGATCTTGAGAGTCACTTCAAGCACAGGTCTCGCTGGAGTTAGATACTGTTTATTCCCCAACAATAGGTGGCAAGACTCCCCCCCCCCCAAGCTTCCAATAGCTACATTCCCTAGGGCTAAACTCAAAAGAGTAAATCAAATCTACTTCCATAATCTACACACAGACGACAGGGACAGAGTACAGATACTCCAAGTTACAAACACCTTTACGTATGAACAAACCTCCATATATTATGACATTTTCATACTTTGGGCATATGAATACCAAGCCACACATGAGAACTTTGTAGTTTCTCTGGGTAAATACTGTTGAAACTACTTGCTGCGGCACAGCTTTAGTGCTGCTACATAATTTTATTTGTTGCCTTCTGAGAGAAGGCAAACTATGTTCCTTTCTGTGGTCTGTAACATGACCCTACTCCTGGGTAAGCATAAAAGCAGTGGATGTGACACACCTGTAATTAAAAAAAAGGAATGTCAACATTTTGAAATGAAATGTCACAGTGTGGGTATGCCTGGTTTAAATCATTTGATGATCACAGTGATCAGACCTTCAGCTGCATTATAAACGAAGCTATTGAGGACTAGCCTGGGAACCTAACCACCTCTAACCATCTTTACAGGAAGACACTTTGAGCTCCAACAGTTCCAAAACGTATTTGGAGCAAATGGCTTGGAATTTGTGGACTCCCTGTCCACCGCTGATAATACAAGTACAACGCTGTCAATTTCACAAGAGACCCACATTCTTGCCCACGTCGTCCTTGGAGCTCATGAGATCCTCCATCTCCGTGCGCAGCTGTTTGTTCAGCCTCTCAAACTCCTCCTTGGCCTCCAGCGCCTCGTCCAGCGCGCGGGCCAGAGACAGAGCCTTGGTCTCCTTCTCCCGCGCCTCCGCTTCTGCGCGGTCCCGCTCGTCCGCGTAACGGGCGGAAATGTTCTTCTCCTCGGCCAGCATCTGCGACACAGCAAGGGTAAATCAACATTCCCAGCTCAACACCGCCAAGACGGGAGCAGCAGGGACTCGTGTTTCCACAAAAGTCAGTGACCTAATCCTCCTGTGGTATACGGAACTGACGAGCCGTCAGAATAAGTTCAATTTTCATCCCATGAAGCTTATACCCTTAAGAAGTCGGTAACAGACAAAAACATCAGCATATGAAGTGTTTCAACTATAGACTGATAGACGCTAAAATCAAGTATACTATTCTGGTACTGTGCAGATTAAAATGTGGCATCAGAAACTGTTAGCCAGCACTGTACCTGGTCAAACTTCTTCTGCTTCTTCTCCAGGTTGGAGACGATCTGTCTCTGGTGGTCAAGGTCCACCATGAGGTCATCCAGCTCCTGCTGCAGCCGGTTTTTGGTCTTCTCCATCTTGTCGAAGGCCATGGCTTTCTCCTCCAGCCTCTGGTTGGAGCTCTCCACATCCTTCAGCAGCTTCTTCTTCACCTCCTCCAGCCCCTCCATGGTCCCAACATCGTCCTCCAGCTTCTTCTTGGTGTCCACCAGCTGCAAGGATGGACAGAAGGAAAGAGAAGCTCACCAATACTGAACACAGAGCTGAGAGTGTGGCACTTCGTGGTCTCGCAGATCAGACTAAATAATGGCCTCAAATGTCCTGCCTCTAGAAGTGGCACAGAAATATCTTTCAATTGTGACCTCTGCATGGTTTTCATAATATGGCTTAATGCAGACTTGTGGGTTTTATCCAATGTCCTGTCAGCTGCACCATGAGCCTCGCAATATACTGGGCACAGTCATGTCATCTTCTAAATTTTCTCCCCCCCAAGTCTGACCACCCTGGCCTGGAAGTGAGGTCATTTTCATCTTTTTAAAAATGGGTCATCCCACTAAATCTGAGTATGCAGTTTGGACAGCTGTTTTCATCCCCCCTCCCCGGCCTGTGCATCCTTTACATGAACCAGAAGTGGGTCCAGCTGGCTTCTTCCCCTCAGCCAGCCCACACCTGTGCACTCTGCCCCCTGTACCTGCGCCTGCAGCGTGGCCAGCTGTTTTTCCAGGTTCCTGCGGGCTTCCTCCTCTTCCTCTTGCTGCTCCTGCAGGGCATTCTTCTCCTCTTCCAGCTGGCGGATACGGCTGCTCAGGTTCAGCTTCTGGCGCGTCTCCTCCTGCAGCAGCTCCTAAACACACAGCCCCACAAATGCAGTCATAACACCGCACGGCTCATTCACTTGTGCATCTGCACCTTGCCTGGGCACAGCAGAAGTGGCCCTGCTGATCTTGGTGAGCAGGCAGATGAACAATTCTGCCCAATGAGTTAAGCACTCAGCATTGCACAACGCTCTCACATGAGGAGTCCAAAGGATCCCTCGCTGCTGTAAACTCCTGTCACTAAAAAGGTTTCAGGAATTTAATAAAATCTGATTCTGTTTACTTGCCCAATACTGCATGAAATGTCAGGGTAAACTGGGTGATTACAACAAAGTCAGAACTTTGCTACATAGCCTACTCTTGATCAAAAGCCTGTGATTTAATACCGTAACAGAAAGAGCAATCTCCCTTCACTCACCTGTGTGTCCTGTAGCTGCGATTCCATACTGGCTGCATCTTTGGCCAGCTTGATTCCCTTCTTTTCTGCCTCTTCCAGCAGGGTGGAGACATTGTCAAGTTCATTCTACGCAGAGAGAAAAAGGAGTGTTTCACAAAATATGGTACAGATCATTATAATGCAGTGATAAAAGCCTTGGGAGAAATTCTACATTCTTCTAGTTTACCTGCGTATGATCCTTGTCGTTTAATTTCTACACACCTTCAAAAAGCAATGGAGATTATAGTGGTGGCATTGATACACACTTCACAACTCTGCAACACAGCACCTAAAACTTGCTATAAGTCCAGATTGCACCAGCCTCCCAACACCAGATTGTGGCCAGCTCTTATAACACGGGACGAGGCGACTACGGACAGACCTGCAGCTTGTGAGTTCGCTCAGCCAGCTCGCTCTTGGACCTCTCGCCCTCGGTGACTCTGGCCATGAACTCCTGCAGCTGTGCCTCCAACTTCTTCCTCTTGTGCTCCGAGTCTGCCTTGGCCTGCTGCAGCACTTTCACCTCGTTGGCCATCTCCTTGTTGTCACTCTCCAGCGTCTGCTTGTTCTTCTCCAGGTTCGACTTGAACTGCAGCGGTCATCAGGAAAAGCGTCGGGTTACGCACAGTAAGGTTTCACGAGACTCGCAGACCGGCTTTACAGCTCGAAAACGTAAATTCTTAACTCAAGCGAACGGATTAAGAACAAAACTGCAAAACTACGTGGAATCCTGCAATGCCACTAAGTCGTAACACTAACGCTAAACAGGCCAAAAAAAAACTCAGTGATCTAATGTTCAAAGGAATCAAATGGGATAGCACAGAAGGTTCTTTGACCTTATTCTAGTTGAAATAAGTTAGAATGGACATGTTTAAAAAAGCTGAAAGCCTTTTTCTCAGCTCTTTAGAGCCTTATTATTAAGAATATTTTTTTCAGTGCATCTTAATCAACCCCACTGCTGCCTCAAGAACTGTAATTCAACATTTCCGTCACGTGCAGCCTGTCGACAGCGAGCCGGAGAGCACACTCGGACACTGTCCGTACCCTCTTGGCTTGCTCGAGCTGCTCCGACAGCTCCTCCAGGGCGGTGGAGTGCCTCTGCCTCATCTCCTGGATTTGCGATTCGTGGTTCTTCGTCTCTTCCTCAATGGCCTTCTTCAGCTCCGCCACCTCCTGCTCACGCTTGGTCCTACAAAAAACGGATTCGTCAGGAAGCTGGCTTCTCTCAAGCTGCGATCCGGCAGGACAGGAGGGCCGCAGACCCACGTGCTACTCAAGAACCAGCCCAGGTGAAGCGGCCAGGCCTGGCGGCGACGTGCCCGCCTACCTGAGCTCCTGCTGCGCGGCCGTCGTGTCCAACGTGTCCTCCAGCTCGGTCTTGAGGGCCTCCAGCTCCTCGCTCAGGTCTCTCTTCAGCTTCTCCGCCTTATTCCGCGCTGCCTTCTCCGACTCCAGGTCCTCCTGGAGCTCGGCCAGCTGGGCCTGCAGCTCTCGCACCTGCTTCAGGGCATTGTTCTTCTGAGCCACCTCCTCGTCCCCCCTGGGCCACACACAGAGCACAGCAGGTGAGAACTCCCGAGGCACGCGGCCCCCCGGACGTTGCGAACCGCAGCACCCTGGTAGATGTTCATCCCCGTGGGTGGCATTAAAAAAAAAAACGGACAAGCGGACAGGAGGTACAAGCTGCTCAGTGCCTTATCAATGTGTTTCAAAGCAGAAAATTTGTTAGAGCTGTGCAAAGTGGAAACAGGACTTGGAATGTGTGGGAGGCAAGGACAAACTGCACAACACGGCAACAAAAAAACAAACAAACAGTGTCGAGATTTTCACATTTGGACAATTTCTGCTGATTTTATTACTTCAGTTAGATTTGGGGGCAATAATTCTGTATACCATTAAACTAAAAAAGCCCCTATAGCAGACTGCAACAAAACAAAAAGTCCAAACCATGTACCAAATGCAGCTTACATGGACCCCCCCAAAAATAAATACCCTTAATTGGTTAAATATTGTGATCAAGGGAGTTTAAAAACAGGAAGACAAAAGCATTACAGTTCTGTCAGAGCAAAATAAATGAACTGGAATTTTAGGGTGTGCGCCAATGTCAAATAACTATCACATGTTTAAATAATTTAAACAAGGCTTTAATACAGCTTTAAGTTTAGAAGGCTTGCATAAGGTTTTAATACCAAAGACACCAAGCAAATATGAAACAAATAACCTTTTTAAAAGTCATACATCAGTAACAGGCTTGCACAACAGCACCTGGGGATTTCATTAAAACTGGAATGAACTGACAGAATGCTGTAAAAATATAGTGTAAGGGCAAGTGAGAAATCAATTATTTTTAATTTTTACTAAAATTTTATCTCCTTTCAGTGATAGCTAAATCCCAATTTAACCTGCAGTTTGTCTCCAAGCTGGCTGCCAAGGTAAATGCACAAATATGAGATTAAAATATTTAAGACCATTAAAGCCTCAGTCAGACCGAGTTCAAATGTAAGTGGAGAGAGCAAGTGCTTTGCTTGCCGAGTGAATAGAAATAGAGGTACTGCGAATTTAAGATTGGTCTTAAAGCACAACCCTACATACAGTACGTAATTGAACACTGCCACAAACCAAGACCACACATGGGAGTGTTTAGTGTGTGCGGTGTGAATATCAATCAAGCAAAATTAAGAGTGCAGTGTGCCAACCTGTGAGAAATTCTCTCAAAATAAAAACAGTCAAAAATGCTCTTGTTGGAATGAAGGAATGGCAATGTTTGCCTTCCAATTCTTAAAGCAATCTATAGCTACAGTATGCCACAGGTAACATGCCAAAGGGTCAAAGGACAAAAAACAGCACGTGTTAGTTTAAACATGCTGTAAACATTACAATCCATTACAATGTAGTCAGCTCGAAGATAAGCAATCTACTTTAAAACATCAGCAAAAGGGGCAACTTTACAAAGCTGTACTTTCAAGTTCAAATACTTGTGAAATTTTTCCATACAAGCTGGTGGGAGTTCAGAAGAAACTACCTGCCATATTTTTAAAACTAATAGCTGAGCTCCCTTCAAGAAACAGCTAATCCAGACACTTTACAAACAAGAGGTCGGTAATCTCACCCCCTTTTAAGCCCTTTAGAAGCTGATAAGTTTGATCTTCATCCCCCACTTTAGAATAACTTATTTCATAGTAACAAAGAATAGCATGAGGGCATGTATTGAAACCACAATAGAGGGAAAAGGCAGCTGTAATGAGGGAATTCATACCGAAAGTCTTAGCTCAGATTTGTTAGTCACCATTGCTAAACCACTACAAACTCCACACAACCCCTGAGCAGAGCGCACGCATTTGCTGTCCAGATGCAGCCTCTGTTAAGACGCCTCTGAGCTGCAAGCCAGAATCATGAACTGCATACTGTGAATTCTGCTTTCAGACCGATCTGAACTTATGTATGTTCCTAAACATCAACACAGGAATGTCTCTTGAGCTCCCAGAGAGCCCCTGTGCTGCTGACTCTTGGCCAGACAGCAGAACTGCACCCCAACGTCTCGCACTGACCTGGCAAGGGCAGCCTGCAGCTCCTCCTCCTTCTTAGCCAGCTGGACCTTGAGCTCCTCAATCTGGGCCTGCAGCTCCGCGATCTGGTCCTGCAGGTCTGTCGTCTCCCCATCTAGCTTCCTCTTGGCCTTCTCCAGCTCCTGACGCGTCTTCTCCTCCTTCTTCAGGCGCTCTGGAAATGCACGTGCACAGCATCACTGAGCAACACCCAACAAGAAGGGGGCTGCCACCTTCCACTCGGCACTTACGAATCCCAACCTTTTCATTCATGCAAGCAGAAAGACCCAAAAGTATCTACCCATCCACAGCGAGCAAAAGGATAATTCGCAATCATGACATCCTTTCAGATTCATATTACAGGAACTTGTAAGATGTAAGAACTAGTGCTTCACTCTAAATTTCTACCAGGGCTGTCGTGAATTAAGCACATTAAATTCCATCGATTCAGAAGCTCATAGCACTTTGTTACCTGAAAAACTCTCAGTATGGTTCTTCTAAATTCTGGCTTAGGTTGATCATGCATTGCAATATATAATCACAAGCTAAGGTAAAGTAAACCAAGCAATACTCCAACTTCCTAGATCAGCCCAAACGATTTCCATTCCTTTTGTGCCAACATCAGTGACCTCTCTGGAGACACTGGATTCATAAGCTCACTGTGTCAGGAGGCATACTGGTATCATATCAGTCAGGAAGGACTCATTACCCACTCCTGCAACCTGAAGTGGTCCCATTATTTCTTCCTTTTTCCCTAATTTTTCCTTTTTCCTGTAGTTATACTACAGTGCAATACAGTCCTGTACTACTGCAACAAAACAACTTCCTATTCTGCTTCTCCAAGGATTTCATCTTATTTAGGATCTCACCAAATTAACAGGAACTCTAGACAGTATATGCTATACATTAAGTGCTTCCAAACATTAAATGTCACACGTGAAACACTATACACAAAGTTGCATATGTGGTTCAGGGAAGTATTTGGTTTGAAATGTGCTGCATGACGAGACAACTGCCTGTTTGACCGCAGACAGTAATTAAATCACTTTGAGTGGGGATCTAATTAACACTCCTGACAGAAGGGCAATGGCGTAATGGTGCATGCTCTTTCTCTCTGCTCCAGCGAGTATCTTGGATTCAGCAACTTGGGACATGCTGCTCAACGAACATTGGACTTTTTTCTGATCTCTACATGCTACATGTAATAGGGATTTCTTGCAGGAAAAGAAATGAACACAGGAAAGGTCAGAGGCAACCCCCCCCTACCCACCTTCCAGGTCTGCGATCATCATCTCCTGCTTGTTCTTCAGCTTGCCCAGGTTCTTGGCTTTCTCCTCCTCCTCGGTCAGCTGGGAGGTCATCTCGGACACGCGGTCATCTAGCAACTTCTTCTCCTGTGAAGAGAGAGATGCCACATGTTTAAAGTCTGCCAAGAGTTGTGCTGGATCACAGGCACTGGCTTCCAATTAATGAGTTATTAATCTTATTCTACAGCCACTCTGCCGCCAGCAGCACTTTCAGGACCGACTTGAATTCTTATACAGATTGCACAGACCACAGCTCCAGGCCTCTTTCCTGCAGTTAGTCAGTGAAGTCCTGTGGATCATGGTTACCTTCATAAACTTGGAGTTCTGGTCCTCCAGCAGCAGGATGTCCTCCTCCATCTTCTTGATCTTGGCCTCGGCTGTCACCTTCTCCAGCTGCAGCTTCTGGCGGGCTGCTTCCTCCTCATCCAGCTGCTCCTCCAGGTCCTGTGGGAACAGAGACGCCCAGAGTCACCTTGGCAGTGGGCTTGAGAACGTCTCTCAGGGTCCACTCTAGTGTGGAACATGCAACAAATCAAAGGATGTTCTAGGATTATCTGCAACTGGTGCTGGAAAATCACGTACAACCAGGATGAACATCAGGCCTACTTCATCAAGTGTGAAAGCTGAACAAGATGGCGTTTATTACCACTTCGCTGAAAGCTTATTTAGCAGGACTGGCCTCTACCCAAAACCCACCACATGTGGGTATTCATATATATTGCGCATTGTAGATGTTGAAAAGCTTCTATCCACTTCTGCAAAAGGCAACCTAACACCTGGATTCAACACACCCTAGTGGATCTCTACATCTAGTGCTCCATCGTCCCCTGGGCAATACAAAACATCCACTCTAGCCCAACTAGTGCCGCTCTGGAAATACCTGGATGTGCGTCTGCATCTTCTTCTTCTCATTCTGCAGGGCCTGGTTCCGCTCCTCCTCTTCCTCCACGCGGGACTCCAGGTCATGCAGGATCTCCTCCAGCTCCTGCTTCTTGGCTGCCAGGCGGGCGCGCATCTCCTCGGCCTCTGCAAAGAGCTCCGTCTCCGCCTGCAGCTGCTCCGCCAGGATATTCTTCTCCTCCAGCAGCTAGCCGAGACGCACCCAGACGCAACTGATGGCTCATTGTTACCACAGAGCTTCCTCACGACATTAGACACTAAACTTTTTTTCGCCCATTTCCAAAATGTGGAGATACTTTTCAAACACTGTCTACGGTTACACATTGTATACACAAATCCTGAATCTCTACCGATCAGTGAATTATGATTTGACCACAAAGCAAGCAATATTTGGTCAAAAATTCTATGGCTGTGAAATGTATCCTAAATGTTTTTTTTATCCCAGAACTAAATAAACCTAATAGGATCCAAACCAGAGGAAAGAGTATTTTGGTGGAATGGAGGTTAGCACTACTAACTACTGTATGATCCTCCACGTCACCATATAGGTTTTGCCTGGTGCTTTGGTTCCCTTTCATCTCCCAGATACTGTACATACAGGTTACGCATGACTGTCCATTTCCTAGCTGGTTTCAAGAAGGTTTCCATTTCTGTTCCCAGTTCCTTAAGTACTAGTTATGCAGCTAAAGAGAAATGGAATCAAATGATAATTTGTGGCCTCTTCTAAAGACGCGATCCAGACCGAGGCCTGCGAGCTGTGAGGACCAACCTGCTGGTGTTTCCTCTCCATCTCCACCAGCTCTCCTTCCACCTTGACCTGCTTCTCTTTCACCTTGAGCAGCTCCTCGTCTTTCGCCTGCATCTCCTCCTCCTGCCTGGTCACCTGCAGCAGCGGCTTCACCTGCAGGGGCAGTTCACACACAGCGATGACACGAGGATCGCGAGAGGGGAAAAAGATAGGAATCCCTCTCTCGCCGCCTCCGATAATCTTTTACATGAAAAAATGTGATCTCAATATTCATTTTGCTGTACCCACTGATCTTTCACTAGGTCAAAATCAAATAGTAATGAAATGAAAACTATTTTCAGGAAAAAAAAAATCCATTGGATGAATCCAAGCTTCGCGACAACACAAGGAAAAGAAATGTGACTTGAAGTAAGCAAATTGAACTTGATATTTTCTGACTTTAATGTGGTTTAAGGTACACCTGCTCTGAACTGAGCTGAAAGTAGAGACCCACCTTTGTGAAGAGCCGCCACCACTGCCAGTGCCGCAGTTTGAGGTACGCCGCGCAGTTTCTCTGCAGGACTTTCAGGGCGCTGAGCTGCTGCTGCTTCTTAGCAAAAGCCCTGAAATAAAGATATGTGCATTCAAGCTAGTAACACTCAGTTCTTGCTAGCACTGTGATTTCAACCCATCAACTGATCAAACTCATACTGACTACGCAGGTATTAGAAGCCTCTGGCTATTAGGAAGTTGCCAAACTTTGATTTAACAAGGTCGTATAATGAATAGATTGGTCACTGAACACACAGAAGCTGCACGGTATTTGGACTCACTTGCGGGCCAGATACCCCCGGCACACAGCCTGGAAGTAAATGATGATATCGGTGATCTTCAGGTCTCGCTCCTCCTCCAGGTGAGCCAGGACTCCAGCACGGAAGAAGATCTTGCTCTGTCCAATGCGGTACAGGTTCGGATCCAGTTCCAAGGCTCGGATCTTTAATTAAGCAGCACAAAATGAGTAACAAGCACTTGGGTTAGCTCATCTCAGCTATCAAGCTCTCAAACCATCTCAAAACCCAGGACAAAAAGATAACTCCTCAAGAAGTTCAAGAAGTTCCTACAAAACTTCAAGAAGAAGAAATAAAAAAAAAGAAATCACCATTCTTTCACAAGCCTGTTTTCCATCCATGAAGCCCTTAGGAATAGCGTTAGGGGTGAGGATTTCATATCTATAAATATGAAGAAAAATGAAAGAAAATGGATTTGTCACATTTTAAAACTGTGTAGCTTCTTAATGCTAACAATTCATACATTGACCTACAAACAAATGTATTTGTAACTATTTCAAGATTTCACTTGTGGTCCCAGGCTACTAGGCCTAAATACCCCTTTTTAAAGTCAACAATAAGATTAACTGAGTATTGCCCAGGTGGTTATAATGAGCTAGGTTGCTGCTTACTTAGGTCAGAAGCCGAACTTCATTAACTGTAACAAAATGCCACCTGACTTTCCATAGAGGAGGGGAAAAAAATACAAAGAAGCTGCTTAGAGCTGCGATGCGATACTGGAGAGCATCTAAACTGGGCAGAAAGGGGGGCCCTGCATCTCCACGAAGACGGTAAAGATGTAAGCAGGTCGGGTCTAACGCAGCGTCAGGGAGAAGAACGCATCAGCTGGGGGGTATTGCATCTGGCGCTGCGCATGGTCCGCGTGCTGCAGCCCCGCGCCGTGGGCCGCTACCTCTGTCTGAACTCCTGGAAGACGATGCGGTTGGGGAAGCCCTGGCGACAGATCCGGATCCCCTCCAGCACCCCGTTGCAGCGCAGCTGGTCCAGCACCAGGTGAGGGTCCAGCTTTCCTGCCTGCAGGGGCGGAACGGGGAGACGCAGGGGTCAGGGGTCAGGGGTCAGCGCAGCCAGGCCCGGCTGCAGCCAACTGGCTCTGCTATACCGGAGTGATCTCCATAGTTACCTCCCCGCTCAAGCAACACACCGCCGGGATACAAACATTCTCATCCTACTGCTGCCAGCAAAGTATCCAAGCATCATTTTTTCCACAAGTTTAATTTTAAACAAACTAAATCCCCTAGAAACGGAATGTCTTTTATTATTAATCTGTCAACAGCTATCACCATAGGAGGTTTTCCTTTAATTGTTTATTTCATCATAAGAAACAAATACCCTCAAAGAAATCCACGTATTTGCTAGGGAGAGTGGAGAACAGGGCTTAGAGATTACTGGAAATCAGGAGTCCTACTGTTTCCCCACAAAAAATTACAAATAAAAGCATAAATCTTTCAGACTTGCTCTCCAAGTGGTATATCCTGTGTATGTAACAAGCAATAACTAACAGCCAAGGTCAGCACGAGTAATATTGTATGTAAAATGTTTTCCTTCGGCTGTAACTTAAAATGTGTAGATTTAGAGCTGAGGCAAACACCTCCAGCTCTAAAAGTCCACAACCTGGCATGCTGTACATACCTCCTTACATTACTTGGGAGTTAAAAACCTAGAAAGGCAGTTAAATTGGTTAAAAGGGTGTTACATTTATTTAAGTAAATAAAGACAATTAATGCACTTAAAAGCTTAGTTAGAATACAAACCAGAAGGCAAAGCTGTCCTCTGGTTTGAAGATGTGCTTCCCTGAATCAGAGGTTCACAGCAATTGCCGGCCTGCCTCTGTAACTGTTCGGAAAGGGGAGGTTGCAGGTACGCACTCCCAACACTGTTCTGATAGCTTACTCCAGTTCAAGAATAGCCTTACAATCACACGCCATCGATAACCACCCAATCAAGGCAGTCGAGCTCGACCCCAAGTGAGCCTCTCAACCACTTCAAAACGGTCCCCTTCAGCATTCAGGAAGATCAAACAGAGCCAAGGCCTCACCTCGATTCAAAGGGGTGTACAGTACTCTGAAACTATGTGGGGAGGACTTTCCGACTGCATCAGGAGCAGCTGAGAGGCTCAGGGAAGAGAGGCAGGGCTTACCCTTTTCTCGTGATTGGGGATGATGCAGCGCACGAAGTTGGGGTTGGTGTTGCGCAGGGTGGCCATCAGCTTGGTGAGGGACTCCTTGTACAGCTGGCCAACCGTGCGGAACATGCCTTTCTTGGTTTTATAGGCCGAACCAAAGGTCGTCTCGTTCATGCCTGCCACCTGGTCCAGACCGACAATGCGATCCACTGTCGGCAATAAGGGAGAAATGCGAACCGTTAGCCGAGCCGCTCCAGAACCAGGAAAACAGTCTCAAAAGCGGCAAAGAGCAGCAGCTAAAGCATGATGGTGATGAATGTGGACAATCACACGTGGCACCTACAGTATGGCAGACAGCCTCGTGGACTGGAGATGGGTTATCTAAACTATAAGCATAAACAGCAAAGGGGAAGAAAAATGTATAAAATCAAACAATTGAACAATTTCGGATTTAACTACAGCTTTGATTTGGGGAAAAAAGCACAAGCAGAACTGGTTGACTATGCCCAGAATTCAGAACGCTTGTGCCATGTTACCTTAGCGTCTTGCAAAATGCAGTCAATTGATTTTAATTAAACGGAATCCTCCCTCATTTTGTTTAGCAGCTTGCCCATATGCACGTTAAATGCATCGAATCTATATAATGTCCTTTTAAAGAGTTTTGTTCATGCAGTTCACCCAAGGCATTTTACTTGAATCCCTCAAAAAGGGCAAAAAGCAAAAACTACAAGACTGGGCAGAAAGTGTTCTATTGTGAGCAAGAGGCACTACATGCTGACCTGTAATAAAGAGATCATATAGAAGCAGAAATGTCCTATCAACTAATAGAGGAGCAATTCACAAAGTAACTGTCAAAGCACAAAAAGGTTTCATACACCAATAGAACAAACTACATAAAACATTTTTAATTAGGTTAATCAGCATAAGAAAAAGGTACAAATGTAGACTCGTCAAAGGAGGACTTACAGAGAGCAAAGCACTAATAGTACTGAAAATACCATACTGGAAGAACAGAGTTTGTATTGTTTAGCAAACCACACCCAAACAACTCAAAAAGAATGTTTGAATACTGGATATTGTCTGCATTTTAACTGACTTATTCTGCTGGGTTAGGATAATACAAATGTTTAGTGGGCTACAGCAGAACAGCCCCCCCCGACTTTACACCAAAACAGATCCTAATGTTTTTGCACATCTTGCCATGGCTTTGTTAATTAAATCCAGAAAAGATAACTTTCTACTATCTACACAGGCAACTGATATCAACAACACAGACTTTAGAAGCTAGAATGCTGCAGTCAACAGGTTTATTTTTTCTCTATATTGAGGAGGAGCCAGAGTGCTGGGACCGGGAAGAATTTCAACCAAAAAAAGGAATATAAACACAGTCGGTTCTTCTGCAGCCAGACTTCATCTACTTTACAACAAGCAAACCCCCCCTTTTTTACTCTGACACTATATTAGATCTCTGACAATAATCAATCACTGGAAGCTCACTGGAAGTCAACCCAAATGGTTACTTGAAACCAGACAAAACTTTAAAATGGACATTATAAAGATGCGACTGAAGAAAAGCAAGACTGTTTCACCATCCTCGCTCGTATTTGCGGGGCAGACAGTTCTGTCAATGAGGGATGGGAGTTTATGCTAATTGTTTGATAAAGCAGGCCTTTTACATTGACTATAAATCACTCCTTTCAGCAATCTTTACACTGACAGCAGTTTCATCTGCAGAGAAAGTACCATGTTATTTTGATGATGGTTTTATAGTCTTTACTAAGAAAATCTTTTCATGGAACATAAATCGCAGATTTAAAATTCCAAAAGGTATAATTTGAGCAATATTTTCCTTTTCACTCACAGCTGCACAAAAGAACAGTCTATTGGCAACATGATCCAGAGCTACTACAGTTAAATGTTTTTTTTTTATTACTTTTTAGACGGAGTGATTCAGAAGTGTGACCAGGCCGGAGACAAAGGAAGCAGACTGCAATGGTAAATTTTAAAAAGTGGCGGGTCATCTGAATGTAAATAACATTTTGCTCTTACAGCAACGTATGTTTATGCAGCCTGACATTTTTTTTTTCCTCGCAAATTAAATCACTGATGAGGCTGCTGTTTTCTTTCTTTAAAAAAAGCATACGAACTGTGTGATACTGTCTCGAAGGTTTTACACAGTGCAACTTCAGCTACTAATAAAACAGCTATATTGGAAAATGCGCAATACAATTGTGAACTGGCAGACTTCCAGACGGGCTGGGTAAACGTAGCCTTTGGTCTGTGCAAGACTAGGGAGCTCGAATGTGTCCTCCTTCCCTGTGAATGCATCTAAAAAACCATACAACTGAACCCCTACCAGTACCCATGTGAACAACCTTGTGCTTTTCTATCCGTGAAACCTACAGTGCGAGGTGTTCCTAGGTCAGAAAGAAATCCCAGAGGCACCTTTCCAGCATGGCCAGGTCTTTTGAATCACTGTGCACTTAATTCACTGTCCGGGCAATAAGGTCAATACTTTAAATAAAAGCCAACTGATGAACCCCATTTACTTTAACTTTGAAAACTAATGTTTTAGAATAACAGCTTCATTTTCGCTCAATACTAGGACAGGCAGTACTAGCACTCCAGCGATGCATTAAAAAGTTTTAAAAAATGATCACAAGTTCTAAAAGTAGAAATAGACTATAAAAATACATCAAAATGTCCCTTTCATGCTACTCGCTCTGTATTTTAGAGGAATAAAATCCAGTTGCCAAAATTGTTTCACTTACTTTTCACACATCTTAGTTCTGCACACTCTTGATTGCCAGACCTTTGGTAAATTTAAGGTCTACGATCCATATGCAAAGGTTCTATGTGAATTTAATACAATTCCCAGAAAAATAAAATGCAGCTAATAGTTAATAAGGCTAATAAAGGACAAGAATTCTCTATACTGTATATTAGGTAGCAGAAGTACATTCAGTTTATACTGGAACCTATATGAAGTTGACTTAACTGATTAACTGCTAAGATTTCTGCTAAACTTTTTTTTATCCAGCATTAATCAAGTTATCAGGCAAGATTGCATAACATTTGGATAAAAACAACCCTTTCCCTGATTCCAGCCTAAATTCATTCAAATTCCAAAATCTGCACAACACCCTGAATTGTATGTTTTCCAAGACACGTGATGCTATCCTACTGATACTGTTTCACCATTCAAATGGATTTCTCTTAAACGTGCTTTTAGAGCATTCACTATCAAAATCTATCTGCACCCTTCTAGGAAAACCCCTCTTAAGTTGTCTGGATGAACAATAATGGAAGTTAGAGAAGAGTTCATTTGGATTTCAAGAGAACAAGCTTTATATTGTTTTCAGGCTAAATGGATATGCCAAGCAAGGCCCAACAATTCTCCTTTAAAAACCCCTCCTTGCACACATGAATAATAACAAAACTCTTGCATCACGATAAACATCCTCTGACATTAAAACAAGCCACTGAAACCAAAGGCTGGCATCTACCAAGAAGCCTTCTCCAATTTGCCTGTCCACCTCGACAATCCAACTTGAAAACTGTAAATAGTTAAAACTATTTTGTGCTAAACAAAAGCAAAAAGAAAAAAATTTCATTTCTGATATCATGTTAGAAACTAGCAAAACAGCTCTAACCTCTAATTGAGTTTTTTTCCCCCTCTGGGATGGAATTACTTGGTCTATAAGGTTGTCCATAAAAATCACTGCTAAAATATCTTGTAACCAGTGCAAATGGCTCTGGTAGTACTTAAGCTACAAATAAATTCTAACAAAGCTGAAATCATAGCTTATGAACAGCATTGCTGAAAGGTATCATTAATTTATTTTGTTAGTAGTAATGCATTAATTTCATGCAAGGCTAGAAGCGATGAGTGCTTCTGAAAGTACACAATGCGGTCCTAAGCAAAGACCTACAGCATCGTATACATTCACCTGGAGGATCATGAAGACTAGAAATATTGTCATAGAAAGAGGCTCTTTGAATATTCTGAATCTCTACAGCAGAGAAACAGAGAGAGAGAGGAAAACAAAATAGGGAAAAATAAAAAGGGAACAATAGAGCAAACACAGAAAAACACTCTGGTTAGTACTGCATGTGACTAGAAAGGAAATCACAAATTATCCAAGTTTAGACGAGCAGAAAATTTCATGCACATTGAAACATTATTAAATTACTGTTGGTATACACAGAGTTTCAAGAGGAAAGTAGCACTAGTATTCTTGTGCACTGGGTGAAAACAGATGTTCTCCAAACATGACTATTTTCAAATTTTTTTACAAACGTTTTACAGCTTTAAAGTCTCCAAGAAAACAAACGTCCAACAGAACTGGATAACCACCACCACATCATTTAAATCATTTTTGCTACTATGTTTATCTGCTGTTTTAATACTAGCTAAATGCTCACAAAATGTAAGGAATTTCCAGTTCCGAATGTTCCATGGAAAGGAAAAAAAAAACAGAACCTAAAAAAAACTCCAAAAGGTTTATGTATTAGGGGATATTTTGGGTCTTTAAATCATTTAAAAGGGGAAATTTGATGCAAAACAAAACCAAGCTGACTCAACCAAAGTGCAGAATGTGTAACGCTAATGAACAATGACCATGCGTCAAAACATCTCCACTACACCACGCTGCCAATCCCAGAAATCAGTAATCCATATTCTGCATTCAGAAGTGCTCATGTCTGAATTTGATTCAGAATTCAGAACGGCGAGAACAGCTACCACACGCTACAGCTTGATCCTCTCAGATGAAACCCATGTGCACATTCAAGTTATTATTACATCCATGTTTAAGTGCAAACTTAGTTCTCATTTCATGAATGCGAACCTTTAGTAATACAGGCAACAAAAAGTGTCAGTCTTACACTATCATGGGATAGTGCAGCACAGTGGATCTGGTGGAAAAGTGAGGAATTACTTAAGCAGCTGGAGAGAATCTCCTGTGTGTGAGGCAAAATACCCCCCATGTGCTAGTTAATCATGCTGTGCACTATTAATGGATAAATAAACATCTCAACTCAGTGTACAGAAGGCATACAGTTGGAATTAGTCCATTTTGATTAGATATTGACAGCTTTGAGTCTCAATACATACATTTTCAGAACATTTTAAAAAGAATAAGTAGAGTAACTGAACTGTCCATGAGCTGTTTTTGTACAGCCAAAAACACAACACTAAATTAACCACTGAGGAACCGCATTATGCTCTAATTTTCTTAGTTGGATCTTCAAGTCATTAATGCTATTTTTATTACAACATGAGAACACATTTTGAAAGACAAACTGCACAATGTGCACCTAAGTTAGCTACCAGTTTTATTAATATATTTACATACCCCAGACCTATAACTGAAAGACCTCTGCACATTTAACAACCAAAGAAAGGACCTGAAAGTAAATGTTCTCATTCCCAGTTCAATGTGTTTTGGGAAACGTTCCTCTGTCCATTTTTTGGGACTGAGGAGGCTACACTGAGAGGACCCTTAAGACTGGCATTGCAGCATTTTGGAGATGTTTTAGATCATACTGTAACATTGTTCTGAACTGCAGTTTGGCAGACTTTCATCTTTCTTTTGCACCAGATTTCTCTTTAGCTGCATTAAAATCAGTTGACATGACATTTTGACTTTACAAGTACTCCAGCACAGGAAAAAAGAAGCTTTACATTAACTTAGGAAGTCCTTATAAAGAGTATAAATTTTATTTTGTAAAAATATTTGGTGAAAAAAAAAAGATTGCTGCTTATGCTTGCTTTGGAAAACTATTATTAGCTGTAGACAGCCCAGACAGATGTCTTACCATCCTTCCACAGTTCTGCGACAAACTTGTCTGTTGACTGGTGCAGAAGAGTTGCCACATTGTCATTAAGAGGGTCCATGTTCTTCATCAGCCATTCATCTGCCTTGTAGTCCACCTGGACAGAGTTCAACAAGGCTCACATAATACCCAGGAGATAATGGTACACATACACACATAACTGAAACAGCCACCTGGTGGGTTGGATGGCTGATTTAATATCAGCTGTGCAAAAAAAAAAACTTGTTCAAAAAAAAAAAAATTAGGCTCATATTAAACACAGACCATCAACCTCACTTTCATATTGCACACTTCCAAAGCATAGAAACAAGCAAACGCTGGCGAAAAAGAACCAAGACCCGGGCGTTTTTTTGACTAGCACAATCCAGACCATCACCGAGGTTTAATAACAGACTTTGATCCAAAGGTTGGTAGGATCAGATAGGTGTTGACTTAAACCCACGAATGGCAACACATTACAGTAAAGGCTTGTCAGCTAGTTTGCAAATTCGACTGATATTTTGAGGAGCCTCCGTTTCATTCAGTGTTGCAAAAAACAGTGAAAACACCCCTGGTCAAAGTGTAAAGTCAAGGTTTGGGTGAATTATTGGCCATTCAGACATCTGGCAATTTTCAGCACTATTTATTCTGGGGGGGGGGGTAAATCTGTGATAATACTGAAGGATCAGGACCACTATTGGGGGGGGGTCAGTGTAAATGTTACAGAAATTATATTTTTCGCAACAGCTCGTTAGCTTCTTATGCTCTGACACTCAAACAAGATATGAAACAGATTTCCTTTTGAGTTGCTGCACACAGGGGATTTTCTTGGAAGGGCCTGGGGTCTCATTCGTATCGGAATACTGACAAATCTCATTCTCAGGTCAACCTTCCACCCAGTCACACGGACCTTATCTCTCGAAAACAACACTAACACGTTTTTGAGTATCTGCCAGCCACGTCCTTCGAGTACAAAATTGGGAAACAGGGCCCGTCGTCTTGATAAACAGCAGTAACACTTCCTTTGCAGGGAGTTGCATGTGTGGGTGGTTCAGTCCTACCTTGCCAGCGTAATGGATGATGCAGAAGTCCGCTTTATCTTTCAGTTGTCTGGGCTTCTGGAATTTGGGATGAGTGCCCTGCTCTTGGACCAGCTTCTCCACAAAGGTCTTGTCAGTGGCCTTGGGGAACCAGCACTCCTCATCCAGCAGAGCCAACACACCAGGCGGGTTAGCCTGCCAAACACAGGGAGGCCGCCCCATCAGCAATGAGTCACTGCCGATGAACTTTGCCTTTTAACGAGAAAGCTTGATTTTTTTCCCTGCTTCAGTATTTTGTCTTTGCCAGTGTCAGCCCGGTACCGAAAAGCAACACTGAATTTAGGGCACAATCGCAAAGACAGGCAACCTGGGACAGAGAGTGAGCGAGCTCACCGGCCTCTCGATGAGGTCGATGCAGGGCTGCAGGTCCAGGCCGAAGTCGATGAAGTTCCACTCGATGCCCTCGCGCTGGTACTCCTCCTGCTCCAGGATGAACATGGTGTGGTTGAAGAGCTGCTGCAGCTTCTCGTTGGTGTAGTTGATGCACAGCTGCTCAAAGGAGTTCAGCTACAGGAGAGAGGGTGAAATGCATCAGATCAAAGCTAAAGCAAATTTTTAAAAAAGAAACCAGTGAACAGGAAGTCCTGGAGGACATAGCTAAAGGGCTGACACCATCCCAAGCAATAGTGGACAAACAAAGGTTTTCTAGCAGCCATCAACTGCTCAAAAAATCAGTTTAAGAAAACCCTTCCGTACACTCATCTCCACCACATCCCTGATATAACTCCACTGCAGTGTCTGTATGCATTTAATGCCAAAATTGCGCTAGTCGAGTCATCCTAAATGCATTCAGCTAAAAAAACCTTTAAATCACAGCACTGCAGAGGTGCCTTGAATATAATGCAGGTCTTTGCTCATTGGCTGTGGGTGTACTTTGGTAATAACCATACAATAGCAAAAAACTTCATCAGCGTTTACTGGAAATTGCCTGCGATTTAATTTTATTTTCTGGCTATCAACTTTTAAACATCACCGCAAAATATTACACTGCAGGTGACAAAACAGCTGCGACTGCGCAAGAATTCTGAAGCAACCTGAGCTCCTCCCATTTTGATTGTTCTTTTAATTACTACTTTAATTAGCCTTTTGCCAAATCCAGTACTAGCACAAACACAATCTTGGTAAGGAATAACATGTAGAAAGTTGAATTAAAAGACAATTGTGGATAACTTTTAAAGATCTTAATTTTTATGCAAAAAAACCCGTGAAATTTCATATAACTGTTTCCATTTGAATGCATGAGCATTAGTTGGAGTTTAAAAGTGCATAAATGGATTACACACCTGATTCTTACAAGCATGTTATCGAGCAATGCCATTTAGGTATTGAGTTAGGCCAGCAAAACAAGGAATCCATCTAATTTTATCAGAAAAATCAGTAACCCACTGCAGCACTGCCACTCCTTTAAATTAAACGCAGTGAACCCTGTTTCTTCCTGTGGTGGCAAACCAGCTCCCTTCTTCTAAAGCCACAGTTAATTATCAGAAACCTCAATGTGCGGCAAAAACATGGTCAAGTGAAACCTTTAAATGGGATCAAATTATAGATTCACTTCTCTCTAATCATCGGCAACTTCATTAAAGGCCGACGCTTAGGCTGGGGTTATCATTTCCAGAATTGAACAGAACAGCTCCTGTGTGCTGTGTGCTCCTGAAGCCACATAGCTAACAGAGAACATCTACACGGACAAGCGAAGGGGGGGATATTCTGATCACACAGGACAGGAGTTCCCTGCAGGGCTCCTGGGGGCTCACACACCTGCTGGCTTCATCCCAGCCAAAACCAACTACTTACGATGGGAACATCAGCAAGTATTTTTCTACTCAAATGTTATTTATATTTCATGTCTTGTGAACTGCAAGAGTTCAGAAGCAACCAGCTGCATGTTTAAGAGCCGAGAACAGCCGAACAGCTCAAATGAACTCTGTCATGAGGTCAATGAAGGGTTCGGGTGTGTAACTCAAAGCTACCTCGAAGATCTCGAAGCCGGCGATGTCCAGGATGCCGATGAAGGAGGCCCCCTGGCGTTTGGTCCTGTCCAGAGCCTTGTTGATGCGGTGAACCAGCCAGCGGAAGAGGCGCTCGTACGTCGCCTTGGCCAGGGCCTCCACAGCGAAGTCCGCCTGGAGGAGAAGAGACACTCTTACGCCCGAGTAAGGACGTACACCTCTCCTACAGAACCCCTCACTCCCCGTTCAAAAGACCAAGCACCCGTGTCTGATTCAAAACATTATCTGGTACCTCCATAGATGAGTGTCCAATAAACCTAGAAGATACACCACTGGTGAATAAGCAATAAACTAGCAGATAATAATACATAAGGTAATACAGTCTATGTAAACTGAATATGCTTTTCCAATATTCAACCTGTGAGCAAAGTGAGGACATTTGACTATTTTCTGATTAAGAAATGTATAAAAAGCTGTATCAGCTGTATCAGACACCCCTGCCCTGCCCTGTATATGACAAGTTCCTTAGGGTGCAGGAATATAATTACAGCACCTGGAGAGCACTTTGGTAAGACACTGCACAAGTGCTGATGCGCAACATACTTCCTTCTCTGCTAGGTCAACACCCTTTTGTTCATGTTTAATGAAGTACTGCAGATCTACATCCTGTCCCTTTCATATACACAAAGTAAAGCAAATGACTAACACCTAAAAAACACAGAACACTTGGTTTATTGCTCGTACAAGCAACCATCAAGATGCATTTAACACGTCACCCGGCCCTCAAACAGGAGAGCCCACCTGTTCTTTGGTCTGTGCTTTCTGTACGTAGTCCCTGCCAACCTTGATCCGGGGCGACAGGATGGCGCGTGTGAACTCCATCACGTTCATGCCCAGCAGGTGGCACAGCTTCTGGGCAGCTGTCAGGGGGCAGAATTAGTTTGTCAGTGGACACAAAGAACAGGAAGAAGAAGGAACCAAGTTAAAGCTGATAATTTATACCTGTACTGGACCCCTTACAAATGTCTGCAAAATGACCAACAAAAACGCGCCCCGGGGCCAAAAACAAGATCAAAAAAAAAAATCAAAAAAAAATATATACGCATAAAAAATAATACACATATATCAAAAGCGGTACTTAAATCCAAATGGAGAATAATATTGTGTGACCTGGAGCCAGATCTCACTAGCAAATCAGTAACTGCTTTAACAAGGGTATTCTGGTGCTGGGACTCTGACTAAACCCTGATTGAAATGGCTTTGAAAAGGAGCACATTAGATGCAAGGGAAAACTGCAGTTGAGCTGTCACCATTAGTGCAAGAGAAAGCAAACTGGAAATCAAAAGGAAACTAGCCACACTAGAATATACCTATTATGGATGCTACTTTGCTCCTGGGTGACCCAGGATATCTGGAATTGAAGGAAAGCTCTCTGCTTTCTAACAACTGCTAAATGCTTAAAATAAACATGAATTTCCTTTTTGTCAAAATATATACTGTAAACATCCACCACTGACGAGTTATGGTTATATTTTGTATAACATTCTGCAAATTTTTACTTGAATTACCAATTGGCTTTTTCCACATGTGTAACATCTTTGGTATGTGCAGCTCTTTTAAAAAAGCCTGTTTATTGCACCCTGGAGTAAACAGGCTTGATATATAGGAGTCAGTGTGACTAACACTAAGCAATTAAAATGCTCTACTTGGGAAAAGAAAAATTCCATTTGCTCCAAGTTTAAAGAAATATTGTCGTTGTGTGAAGTCTGGAAAATTTAAAGTTGATTCAAGGAAACGTCTTCTCAGCCACATTACTGCAGATAGGCTAGTTCAAACATCTGGCACAAGCAAAAGATCAGGTATAAAATTTAAAATTGTCCTTCACTTGATGCACTTATTAAATAGCTGTAATCAAAAAGGACAAGTGAAGAGCTTATTTAACAAATTGAGCAATTTCAACTGTGCGATTTTATAGCAACCTAAAAGGTGCACATTACTCATACAACTAAACCAGATGAGAATAAATCAGAGATCTTCTGACACACGTTCATCCTGAAATGCAGACAATTTGGAGACGGCCAAGAACTGTAAATGCAGTCTTTCCTGAGCAGAAAAATGTGACAACTAATTCTTTGAATGATCTATTTTCAATGGAACATGCTTCTTCTGCATTCCTCACTATGTACAGCATATATTCAATTCAAAGCTATAAACACCCTTTGTATTCCACTATACAGACACTTATCAAAGATATTCATTTTTCTCATTACATACCCACCGAGTTAAGGTTTTTCATTTTATTCCTACATCATCTTTGCACCTGAACAGAATAAATTTCTATATGCTTGATGCAGTTCTATTCCATCTTTAAGAAGTACTTAAAATACACAGTCCTTTGGAATTTTTTGAAGCACCCAAAAACCATAGAAAAATGAAAACTTGGTACAGCCTGAAGCTTATTAGGTGCACTAAAAGTCCTCTGCAGTGATTAGCAGAGGTGTCTGTGCAGGTATGAAATACCACACACAGATGTGAAGGGTGTTTGAGTGAGAAAAGTGACAGCAAAAAGCTACCTGTGTTCTCTGGCATGGAGGCCTGATCCGTGTTTCTTTCCTTCTTGAAGACAATGTTACCGAACTGCAGCACAGAGGACACCACCTTGAGCATAGCTGCAAGAGCAAGGAGACAAGAAAGTATTATGGCCCGTCACAAATAGCTCAGACAAAAGAGTCAGCCTTCCAGAACAACACCAACGTGAATTAGAAGCTTTTGGTCCGATTTTGTATTTCAGCACTAATAAAGTTAGAAAGGAGAACTGGCCTTTCAGCCCATCTAGCTTGTAAGTGATCGATGACCAATTAGGTAAGTACTTAATGGGAGAACATGAAGCTTTAAACAGCTCTGGAAAGGGGTCTTCGGGTCTCCAAGGGGTCTTCGGGTCTCCTGCAGGTTGAATTCTGCGGCACAACTGTGCACAAGTCACAGCTACGTAGGCTGCAGGGCCCTTACTTACACAGGATCTCCTCATGGGAGAAGCTCATGATGTGCATTGCTTCCATGGTCTCCTGGAAGTTGTCCTTGTCCTGTTGCCCCGGGATGGGAATGTTGCCGTTGGACAGGAAGCGATAGCTGTTAAATCCTTCCAACAGCAAGTCAGCTGAAAAGAAGAAAGAATTGCTATACAACTACCCTCACGCCTTAAAATTAACACAACTGTACTATGCTTGGACATTTTATTGACTGTACATCTCAAACTAATTAGTTATGGGGATCCGAGAACACCAGAGAGCATCAATTTAAATGATGATCCAACTGGAATTTGAAGAATATATCAGCACTCGGTGTACTGCGCAAAGCATTAAAACACTGCATGATTTTTCTCTCCTTGACAGAGGAACTAAAATACCACACACAAGCTTGCTTTTCAGCGCAATGGAATTCCGGCCCCTTTTAACTGCACTGCAAGCTTTATGGAGTCGACTCCCGTTAGAATTCCACACGCTGTTTTAATCCGGATCCAGCCTGGAACAGACATCGTGCTCAAAGTTGTTGCCAGATCAGGATAACTAGCAGTAGGAAATCCTTTCATCCTTTCATAAATTGGAACTAATTCAATTTAATTTTAAATCCGTTAAAACCATGACCTTTCATTATTCGTACAAGTGACACTCATTACTAAGCAACATGCACTGTATAAACAAAAATAAGGAGCTGCCCTAACCGCACACTCGTGTTACAGGGCAGCAGTTTAAAAGGTACGACAAACAGGGACCTATTAGAAAAAGTACTGATCACAGGTGTCCAAGACATACAGGGGCCGTACAAGATAAAGCAACCTGGAATGGCAGCGCCTGAACACAAAGCTGTGGCAGCTAAAGAAAAAAAACTACATATTGCAGCTTCTAACAGATGCAATAGCAACTTCAAGCCCCAGGAAAAAGGAGTGGTGGATTTCAGCAGGCATAGGGAACAGACCCAACGGAGCCCTGTTTCCGTTTCACAGGCGGCTAGGGCACTCACACTTCAGGTGCTCTCCGGCCCCGGCCAGCAGCTGATAGAAAATGTGGAACGTTCTCTCATCTTTGGCTTGGCGAATGGCTCTCGACTTCTCCAGCAGATCTGAATGCTGGGTGTCAAGGACTAGTTTCATTGATAAACAAAGCAAATATCCCACATCAGTTGTTAAAAGACTGACTTCAAAATCTCTGCGGCGACCACTGGGTGTAAATTGAGTCATTGCATTTTAAAACAGGAATTTTTATACAGTACTATTAAAGTCTCGTTTTCATATTTTCAGAGCTTTTAAATATTTTACAGAGGAAAACTAAACTTTAGTGCCCCTTACATAAATGTTAATTAAGGACCTTAAAAATAGTCGCTGAATGTTATTGACCTTAATACAGAGTACAGCTACTTTCATGAGATTTAAACTTGGATATACAGTATAGACAGGAAAATATTTACCTAAAAATGAATTACTTTTGTTGCAAGGTACACGTTTAGCTGCAGAATGCTCTGTGAGCTGCACATCATGTGCTGTCAGATTCGCAAGACCAGCTAACCCAAGCATAATGAAAGAATAATCCAAACCCGAAACATTTCTCCAATAATGTGCACATGACAATGCACTGATTTTTAAAAACATGATATAGCCATGATCTATAGATAGGAGAAAAAAATAGCTTTCTAAAAACATAAGTAGTAGGCTAAAGCTGCATTCAGAACATGTTTGTGGCCGTGCTAAAATTAAGATCCCATCTTTGGCCAAACCTATGTTTTTTAGCAATCCTGTGCTAGAACTCCTGGCAGGATACAGGTCTCGATATTGGCCCCCACAATGTAACCAGTGACGTCAAAGTTGATCCTAATGAACTTTCCCTGCAGAGAAAAAGGAGACAAAAAAAGAACAAATGCACTATTGTTGAATTTTTCTTCTTTCCATATACACTTGCCACCTCAAAAACCTGACCAAGTGGAAGCAATTATATTCATGGGACTGTTATAAATGTGAGGACAGCAGAGAACGATATCAGAGCTGTTTCTAATAAAGCCAATCATGTTAATCTGCCATGTGCCCTATGTATATGCAATACAAAGAAAGCATCACTAAGTTCGGAGTTTAAACTGAATCCTCAAAGGAGTTTAAGGAATTTTAGTTATAGAATTCCTGATTCGCCACTGGCTTTAAGAATGCAATTTTGGCTTTTGGAGAATGGCTAACTATGCCCTTTAAGAGGGATGCTTCGATTGTTATCATCATGGCATAGAAAATAACTTTTAAAAGAGAAGCCAGAGTCATCCTACTACTAGAAACAAGGTGTTGAATTGATAGATATTCATTGAAAGAGTCAGTAATACTAAACAAAACGATTTATGCCAACAGATCAAGATTATTTTTTCTAGTAAGCCCTGTACATTTAATACTGGTATATCGAAAATAAGAGATGACATTTTATCAGAACAGTTTGATAAACGAGGATTGAGGAGCTTATCAAATGCTCAAACCTTGAGATTTCCTTCACTCAGCACGAGGCACAACAGGTTGGCGATTCACTTAGCAAATTAACAGCACAGAACACTCCATCACATTTCTGTTTCTAGGCCAACTCGGAAGCAGTTTAGGGACGCAACCCTGCCGTTTTCCAGTTGAATTACTGGCAATAAAGTGCACTGCAATAACTGAGCTACTCAGTGTGATTACATTTCACATATCTGACATTTAATAGCTCCCTTTACCCACTGCAGGGATACTAACAAACAAATATAGATGCTTTTATATCTTCTACGTCTCATTCCTTTGCTTTTAACGATATCAACAGCAACTTCCACGGCTCAGTGCTCTGACTATCGACTTACAAAACGTGAAGAGTTGTCATTTTTCACCGTCTTTGCGTTGCCGAAGGACTCAAGGATGGGGTTGGCTTGCAGAAGCTGGCGTTCCAGCTCACCCTGAAACAACAAGGAAGGTTACAGCAGCCTGCGCCCGTGAGGCGTGTCCCCCTCCAGCAGCCTTACAGAAGGGGCTCAGGGTCTCCCCGAGGGAAAAACAGAGAGGACAAAGTGAACTGCAGTGAGCCCAGACGCCTTCACCTCTTAACCACTGCTTGAGCCTCACCTCGAAAGAACAAGACGGCCTGTGAGAGCATGGGGGACCCACGAGGGGGACGTGGCGGGAGAGTCTGGCTTTCACCAGAACATGACCAAGGAAGAGAAATGGCCAGGAAGGTAACTGACAGGTTAAAGACGGGCGGAAGGTCAATGTGACAATAAGGGCATGCACTGGAAATGGGCTTACAGGCTCTGTCAGGTACTGTGTGGATCTGCACCACGTACGAAATTTTCTCCATTTTTGATATCACCCAGAATAGCCAAATGTGCCGAAACAGATTTTACCCTCCCAGGGGGTCATCTTTGAATATTTGCCCTAGGAGCCTGTATATGTGGTGATTTGCTTGTTTGGGTGAAACACCTTTGTCCTGTTCAAAACCTGAACAAAAATGGAGGGAAGGGAGGTGGAGTAGAGTAAATTAACCAATTTTATTTTTATTTTTTTTAAACAGGGATGTGAGTGATTTTGTTGTTTTTTTTTAAATCTGCTGAGCTGGCAAGGAATCTGCTTTTTCCAAATACATAAAATGCTGTGATATCTTCCGTTAAGATACACGGGAGATGGGATGGCACGACACGCGTGAGTGTTTTTCTTTTTTTTTTTTTTTTAAACGCTGCCATCCTGGAGTTACCCCACTTCAGCGGATCTTGTCTTGTTTTTGGCCTCCTGCAGCCCCATTCACTGTACCAGGACCTGCCACCGTTAACGCGCAGTTAAGGGCTTTTTAGCTTTGGAGTCCAAGATGCATTCCAGGTGCTTTACAGTGAAAATATATTCAACAGCAAACGCGCACTTCAATTTTGGAATTGCTGGAGAGGTAAGAGGAGAATTGAGGAAGCCATCAACTGTAGTCCCGAGAACAATAAAGACCAATTGATCCAGCCTCTTCTCTGTCCTTAACACCACTTTAGAGACCAAACATCTGGTAAGGCATATATAAAACTGAAACCACTGGCACTGCCCGAACAGCACTGCCTGTTTACGTACCCCGACGTACAGTGCTCTGGCAGCGAGACACATCGTTCAGCTCATGTAACCCAGCAGAACTAACGGCATAATATTAAAAACCATCTGGTCTGAGATTTCTGTACTTAGTGTTATATACAGTACTAACACTTTCATTCCAAGTGTTAGCTCTTTCCCAAAATTTACTGAAAGGGCATTAAAAAAAAAAACATCAGCCTGTCACACCCCACAGCTGATAAACATACAGTTCCATATTGATATCCATATTTATATCGATATGGGCCATGCAGCCTTAAGGTTTAAATATGTAAATTGCTTCTATACTTTTTTTTTTGCTCATCAAGAAATGAACTTTCGAAGACAAATTCCAAAAGTTACAAATAAAATAAAAATTGCCGCAGGCTGCGATTTCACCAAAGGGCAGAGCGCTACCTCAACTGGGATGCTGAATGAACAAAAATGGTGAGAGGCTGTGTGAATAAAAGGTCCCAAGAGGAAGGATTCTCACGTGTAGTGAATAAGGGCAAGTATATTTGCTGGGGCTCAAACAGAAGATGACCTGTGTGAATGTTTGGACAGGTGGTGTTCTAAATCTCTCCAGTACTGTGGGTTTTATCAGGATGAGGGAAGCAGGAATAGGAAAGGGTTCAGATTCCTCTCCTCATCCTACGCAGTCCCATTAATTTCCTTTTGTGTTGCCATAAATCGCAAATTCTAAAACGTCTGAAAGTTATATTTAACAAATACTTAAGTGTAATAAACAAATACTATGATGGAGCACAGACTGTAACACCAATATACCCTCTCTAAACACAGACCACAGAGCTTAAAAAAAAAAACATTCTACAGAACCCAAGCATGGGATTCATCTTCTACATTAGCAGCTACTGCTAAAAACCTAGCAGACCAGATCAGAGTTTAATGCAGACTGCTCTACCCTGTCTGTCTGGATCTATGCTGAAGAGGGCCTCCTGCCCACCGGCGTCGCTACTAATATCAAACACTTAACGGCTATTACAGCAAAACAAGACAAAACCCCAACAGCAGCAGGGGCCTGCTGTGGGCAGAGAAACCCCGACAATGATTGCCTGCCGAGTATATTACAGTTCAGACACTGAGAAATTGCATCCACTGTAGAAACTAATTAAGATGCAATAGCAACAAAATATCTGAAGGCCACATTTAAGAGTGAACTCCTCCACCCCCTGGCATTCCAACCTGAAAGTTTAAATCACAGAGAAGCTTTAATACTGGAGAGGCACACTATCACCAGGGAAATAAACTGGTAATACTGATAGTACTGGTTTTAAGTTTGGGGGGGGGGTCGGAAACTATCTCACATGGAGAAAACATTTCAACAATTAAACGCTTTTTCAAAGCACTTTAGGCTTCCAAGTAAGCAAAAAGTGTTTATTAAGGACATTTCAGATGACCACATCGTGGAAACTCCAAAGTGCTAGAACGAAATTTGAACACAAAGGAGCAGTACCTTTTCGGTTTAAATACCCTACTCCCTCAACAAAATTTAAGGCAATCAAAATTAATTGTTTTAGATCCAGGGCTGAATGAATGAATTTCCACTGTTCTGCAGTATATATCCTACAGAGAGCATATATACCACTGCGTAAGTATAGTCGTCAAGTGCTGTTTTCACATCCCATTCCGCCAAATTCTGGAGACACTCAGGAGAATAGTTTAATACGCGTTACTAATCCTTCCAGACGAAACAGGCAGGCACTAATCATGCATTTATTTTAAAAATAAATAAATCTAGTCTCTTGAGAGAATTGAAGACATTTCCAAGAAAGCATAAAAAAGACCCTAGAGCACAAATGGAATAACACTTAACCAACAAAACCAAAGTCTTGCCAGAGATGAGGTAGTTTCTTTTTGGTGTGCTTGAACAGTTTTGAACGTTTCTTAACTTCTCCAACTCTATTCAATAAATAGACAAGTGTACGTTTTTAATCTGCAGGGTTGCACATACAGTATTCTTGTCTGAGCGGAGTGATCTGACCCTTGGGCAATACGCAGGCTACATTCATTCATCATTCATTGCTACAGGAAGTGTCTGCATCCTGGCCTTTCAAGTCTAATCAGTGAAAAGACAAGTACTGCAGTGAGTTAAAAATACCTGGTTCAAATCACTTACACCTCCCTTTCATACGCCAGTCATTCTGGCCTCCCTGGTCAGTACACATCACACTTCCAAGTATTTGACATCTGTGATGTCAAAACCCCTCCCTGCATTTTTCCTGAACAAGTTCACAAGGAACTTAAATTGGATGCAGAAGAGATCTCAAGACAGACACATGCAGCATGCTTTGGCAGACAGGACCTGGTACAGTATTTCACACATCGGTAAGGAAAATGATTAAGTTTAATTTTGTTTTTATCGGATCGCCCCACGTTGTAAAAGCCAACTGTGTTCTTGACACACCCACAGCTACAAACCCTTCAGCCGCACATGAGGAGAACTAGGTGTAGGTGACTCTTCAGAGCAGGCCACCTTCTGACCAATCGCACTGTCACAGGCAACAGCCCCACATCTGAGCAGAGGCCCATTAACACCTGGAGGCTGCAGGAACAGCTCTTGGGGCTGAGCGGGCCCTGGCCAGCCCCATCACAGATGGGTTGTGACCTGACCCATGCTTGAACCCGTGATCAAAGCGGTACCCGCTGAGCCTCTTGCGAGGCTCAGTTTTGTTTGATTCTGCTGCGCGGCACGTGGAAAAGAAATTTCAAACACCACGCTACCTAGGCCAAACAAAACAAGTCCAGAAACCATCAGAGATGGGTATGATGAAAGATTTAAAATGCAACATTTCACATATACAGCTTAATTTTTTATGCCACGGCGCCAAATTCAACCACATGTTAACATTTCCAATTTTCTTTGGAAAAAGCAGAGCCCTTATGAATTAGGTGACTGGTGAAACCATGCAGTGAATGTGACCCAGCTGGTATCATAAAAAGGTGTTAGGACACAAGCATCAGGAGCTGCTACTGTTCCCTTCAGATGGTCACAGAGGGACAGATGCAAAGACAATAGCACCCCCTTTCTTCTTCCCGCTGTGATTGAGCTTCTGATTAAGTGTAACAGAAGGGAGGGACTACATGCTACTCACATACAACAGGGATCCACTCTGTAGTCAATGGGTAGATTCAAACGTTACAACGAAAACAAAAACGTGTTAATGTTCATGGTGACTACAAGACACTAATAAGACATTTTCTAGTTTAACAGTGAAGAACAAAAACAAGTCACAACAAGTTCTAGAAAATAAAAGGATTGTGCTACTGCACAGTACATCACACTTGTGTGCGCACAGTTTGGGATTTGCAAATTGAGTCATTTTGCAAGAAACCAGTGTCCTAGGTCATCAGGTCCAAACCAGAGATGCTGGACTGGTATGAACATTGTCCAGAACAGCTTTTTCCCCACAAGATCTTCAAAAGTAATTCGTCCAGAACAGCTTTTGCCCCAAGATCTTCAAGAGCAATTCTGATGTTCGGTAACATTATCGAATAATGACTGGCAGACCTTTAACTGTTAAGAAATTTGAAGTGTTGAATGGAAAGGAGAATCAGTGAAGCCAAGCAGCTTGTCTGTCACTCAGCATTTTAATGATTTCAATCTTTTCCTTTTTTTTTTTTTGCTCCACAAGCTTAACTGCCTTATTCTGGCAACTGTTTGCTGCAAAATGACACCTTTGCATATCAGAAGCTGCTTGGTTTTAATCCCAATATAAAAACATCAAGGTGTTTCTCCATCCTTAAAAACTTCCAGAGCACCCAGGCAAATGCAGGAAATTAAAATTTCAGCATTTAAGAGGACACTGTGATGGATAATGGGAAGACTACTGATAATGTTCCTCTGGGGGAAAAAAATCTTATCCTGAATAGAAAAACGTTATTCAAACTAGTAGCAGCTTACAGAATTTTAACAAAACATTTATCAACTAGTTTACTTGAACAAAATCTGAAACTTTAAACATCTCGTTGCCAAAAAGATACCATGTGAATTCAATGTTACAGCAGTAACACTGACACACAGGATAACAGAACAGCACAACAGCATGCCAGGCGAAATACTAAGAAAATAGACACGCATATGCAATGGTCAATCCATGATGTTTAAAAAACGGCACTGCTTGAAATTAAAAAAGGCATACACTGAAAAAAAATGTACTGCCATGGCACTTACTGTGGCTAAAGAAATCATCAGCAGTTTAGGGTCAATTCTAATATTTGTTTGCTTGTTACTATACATTTGAAATAAGACTAGTTAAAAAAAACATTTTGCACCATTAGATGCATTGTAAAATACAAACTGAAGTTTAAAATAAACTTTATCCTTTACAAACAAATACCCTGTATTGACCCTGTGGCACTGCTTAGCAGGTAGTTAAATCAACATGCATTTGATCATATAAGGATCATTATAAAAAAAAGCATAAACACTTGCCTGGAGTTTCACTGGTTTAGGCGATTCAGGCTGTTTGTTGCAAATAAACAAATGCAGATGTTAGAAGTTGTTTCACACTGCAAGCCATACCTCCCTGCTTGGGTTTGTGCAGCATGCTCTGGGATAAGCATCTCAGTTCATGGAATTGGAACAACTTTGCTCGATGAAACTAAACTGCATTAACTTCTTAAAAAGAACAGTTATGTAAAGCTGTATGTTACATGTCAATCCATGGCTATTATTAAGTTGAGACGTTTTGACATATCTGGAGGAAAAACTGTTTTTCTTTCAAATGTAGAACATCAGGTTCCCTGCACACATATAACTTTCTCTACAAAGATCAAAGCATAAGAAGTTACATCACTAGCTACAGTATATTTTAACGAGTGGAATTATCATTTAAAAAGATCCCATAAAAAGAGGTTTCCCTTTTTCCCCTGAAACTAATTACCTTATTAATTCTAGGATTTTAGCACTGGCTTTAGGGATACTTTTGTCAGGCAATGATCTGTCTTTTTGTAAATTGTAAAATAGGAGGAATTAATTTCACCCTATTCTTTCCAAAACCAATATTCTAACCTGAGGCTACCAGGTTCATTACAATGTCCAAGCTTTAACGTGTGTTAAGTTTAAACTTAAGAGATGGTTCACAATCGGTCAGTACTAGGTTGCTGTAGTTTTCCCTAGTACAAGCACAATAAAGCACAAAAATATTCCCATTAAGTCCAAAGAAACATTTAACAGATGGTTTTGCTTTACAATAAGAAGTCTGTGGCCATCATAGAAGTTAATGCACAAATCCGCAGTAACCTGGTGTACCTTGGTCACACTGTGATGAGATATCTTTGCGAAAACCCAATTCCATGAAATGCTGCAAAGCTTTATTTAAACAGAAGCTTAGCATTTTGAAAACAATCTAAACTACATTAGAATTAATTTTCAAGGTTATCAGTGTGTAAAATCCCCCATGTTGCTTCTTTACTGTATCATGGGAGACCTTGAGATGCGATGGGTGAGTGGCTTAAGCCTATAGTGAGTTCTCAGCAGTTCACTTAATCAATCGCTTTAATAAGCAAATGATTTGAAACGGCGCTGCAACAGCAATTCACAAAAATAGTGTAGAAACAAAGTCAAGGCCCACAGTGCTCGGCAACGGAGAGGTTGAGATAACTCACAGGAATGTTGTGGTCCTTTCGTCCTTTGTGGGAAGACGCTACATGCGCCAGGTACTGAATAACTTTTTTGGTGTTCTCCGTCTTACCGGCACCCGATTCACCTCTGCACCGCGAGAGAAGACAAGACATTTACGGAAAGGAGCCCGTAAGATCGGAGGGCACAAGCGGACACTACGCATTTGAAAGAAATAAAAACAAAACAGGAGGAATTTCTTTACGCAAAAGGGTTGTGGGAGTGTGGAACAAAACACCCAGCCACCTAGCTAAAGAGGATACTTTGGCTTCTTTCAAGAAATGGCTGGATGAGGTTCCTGGACCATTTAACTGCATACAGTACTACCAAACGGGCTGAATGGACAGCCCGTCCATCCTGTCTTTTTCTCTCTTTGTACCCCTTATGACATTACATTCCAAAAATGGAACCTTGACTTCAGACTTGGATGACCTGAAACCACAATGACTTGGGCTTTACATACAGAAACAGCGGCAGTGTACTCCACTGTGATGTCTGCAAATATCACTGCATGATTACATTACCATGTATGACCAAGCCTGCGAATAAAACACACTTAATCAACAATATTGACTCACTGAGACCAGTAATAAAGCTTCTAAGACTTGCAGTGCTGTGCCTGTTCCAAGGCTGTGGTTTGGCAGCTACTACTCCTTATCTATGGAATCGACACACAGCTCTAAATTTCTCAGAGCTCAACCAACATGTAGCATGCATGTACTGTACATTTATACCAGGAAATGCAAAATTGAAAATTTAGAAAACAAAATCACCACAGGTTCTTTCAAAACATACTGTACACCTGTGGCCTTCCAGCACTGTGAGAAGAAAAAATGGTACAGGGCTGACCACACTAGAATTATTTTTTATAGATGAAGATCTGATCACATTTTAGGTCATATTTATACAGAAATTCAGAAAATTCTAACGGGTTCACAAGCTTTCTAGCACCACTGTACACTACAAATATATTTAGTTCTTAACACTGTTTGCATGTATGAAACATTGTAAAACATTGTTTTTTCTGGACTGTTCTCAAACTTTTCAAGATATCAAGAGTAGTAAGGAAAGGTTATTAGAAAACAAATCTGCGGTTAATCACGTATTGACACCTTAGAAAAGACTGCACACATGAGAAAACGTGTACAAATCCAGCAAGAGTACAAGTGATCATGTTAATGTGCAAATATTGCTCCAGACACAGGAAGTAATCACAAATACGTCAACTGCTGTCCCATCCACCTTTTAACTGACACACGTGAGATTTCACAGGTCTGTTGTCTTCAGACAAGCCCACCATTCTCTACACCTCAGCACAACAGGCTGCAGATTATAAATACTGGTAGGTGGACAAGCACAACTCAGGTTAGTTTTAGGAGTTTTAGTTTTACTGTCCCCCTACAACTTCATTCTTCTGAACTTTTATAACTTGTGGGGGGGAGGTCCTGCAGTGTAAACACGCAAGGAGGTGGTTTTATAGAAGTCAACATGAGCCCATTTTTGCAAGTGCTGGATGTCGAAGTGTACCCTTTTGTATTTCGCAGTGGACTATTTTTAGTCAGCATCAAGCGTGGAGTGAAAGCGAGGCCAGTTTGGCACCAAATCTGGGGAGCAGTGATGAACGGCTTGAGAAATGTATTAGCAACGTGCCATCTTTACCAAGGCAGCCCATTCCCAAGTCACCTTATCTTCGGGCACTGTCGAATGGACTGGCATCAAAATACCAGGTTGACATTCTCTTTCCCACCATTCCTTGTCTTAATTTTAGCAGATAGGAGTAACCCAGACTGTGTACAAAAATGCCTGGTATTTGTAGCTCCTGTTATTTCAGCTTAAGCGCGTCAGGCATTCACATCTGAAGCCAGTTTGGATAAGCCTCCTTTTAAGGAATGCCACTTTGCCTTTTGGCAGGAAAATAAAATCACTGGCGAATTTAATTGGGGAGGGGGGAGGGGACACTTTATTAGAAGTATTTTATAGAAAAGGTAAGAGTACATCATTATGGACTGACATGCAAATTGGCCAGCAATTGATCGTGACCAAGAGTTTACTCACGTGCAAAGAATTGATTGGTCCTCACGATCTGCAAAAAACAGGGAAAAAAAGCACTGTAAGCATTTACATTGACTCACTGCATTTATAACCTCGAAGGAAGCTGCCATTGGCTTTGACAGCTTTACATCTTTTTATGCAGCTTTGGTGAAAAATGGAAATTCTGAAAAACTACTCCACACTGCAGTCTTAAACTTGTGCAAACCTCTGAGCTCATAGCAAGATTTCTTGCACTCATACACTGTCTTACTACGAACAAAAACTTGCATGCACCCAGTTATGACCTTCTTTTGCACTTTTGCCTCTGGTCCTGGAGAGCCCACTAAGCATTTTAGAAAATCCTACTTCATTGACTTCAAAAGCCATCACTTTACTGAATGTGAAATACAGTAATCCTTCTGTAGTTACAAATGGGAATACAATACAACTTTAAAAGCCTGAAAACCAAAATTCAAAGCAAGCTCAGGTGGGAGAAGGGCTTAGTTTTGATTTTTGTAAAAAAAAACAGCTCTTCTGAACCCTAACCTGCTTTCACAAACAGAAGCAATCGTGTTTCAGAAATACAAGCATCAACACACTAGAGCCGAGAGGCTTTGTCAGTTTATTTTTCTCCCCATTGGTCTGAAATAGGGGAGCAAAACTGTTGAGAAATTGTCCTTAGTCAGAAATAGGGAGTTTGGTGAAACACGGAGCAACACGGTCTCTAAAGAAGACAACACAGACCCTTCTGCACAGCTCAATCAAACTTCAGCTGCTATGCTCTGGGCAAAAAATAAAATTGTAAAAATTGCATTCTCATTTAGAAATAAAGTCAAATAGAATGACACAGGTGTTACATTTCAGAATAACTTGCCAGTCTTAAATGGTTCTGCAGGGACAGCAGGTGTGACACCTAGACTGCAGGTAAGGGTCAAATGCCTTCCTTCCTTTTTCAAAGATGACACACACCACACAGACATCAGAATGCTAGCTTGTATTACAGCCTGAAGTGGCTCCACTGCAAGGCAGTGTAGCATTTTAAATGGCAAAAATATACAGTACTCAAGTACTCAATTAAAAAAGCCTGATCCATACATGCTGCTATACAAATTACTGGCAGTACAAAAGCCACCTTTTTAAGCAGGGCAATATGCAAGTAAAATCAGGAAGACAAGAGGTCTGAATTAAACTGCTTTCCAGCAAAGGCCATGTGCAGAGATCAGACACCTGTGAAAGACACTACTTGACCTTCAACATCTCCTGCATCATGGAAACTGCTCTCACCCAGACCCCAGGGAATGTCAGTTGAGAGCTTTAGAATCTCTGACACTTCTCAGATACATGCCACACATACCCACAGAGAGAATGCCAGACTTGTACCAAAACACTTCTCCTGCAAACAGAGATCCGTCTTTCACAATAGTACAGCAAACATACTGAGCAACTTATACACAAGTATTCAGTGATCCTGGGGAATCTGTTGTACATACAGTAAATGCAAGGTTTAAGAAAACTCGGGCTCTTCAATTCATGTTCAATGCATTGTAAAATGTGTCCCTAAGCTCCCGTCAATCTTTCAACAACAAGGAATTTTTAATAACATAGCTTTTGACAATATCTATATACAGAGCCATGCTGTACTGAGAGTGAATTATTAACAGTTTCAGGAAATTCAGGCTTTGTGAGCAAACACCTCCTATAACGAGGCCATTGAGCTTCTAGTGGTGAAGGCGTGGACAGCACCAGTCCGTGTGGGCCAGTCCTGACCTTTCCAGTGGGAATGCTGAAGGGATATTTACCAGTACTACACACAACGAACTGCACATCTAAACCATAACCACTTATCTAAACTGAGCTCAGGTTATTCCAAAACCAGAGGCAATGTTTAACAAAACACTAAGTTATTTTACTATGAAGCATTTCCTTCTGCAAAAGCTTCGCTTAAATAATACTGTTCATTTCTAAAATTAAATTTGGCTGAGTGGCAGTCTGTTTTCCAAGTCAGATTATATTCTAGGCATTCAGTCAGCAAAGCTCTTAAAAAAATACACGCCCTGTGAAGATCTCCTATACTCAGCTGTTACGATTTGTCTTTACAATGAAAGATGCAACAACAGCATTTCCAAACAGCTTAACACCCATCCCCAAAATGGCTTAGCATGACTCCTTGCTTAAGTCTCTTTCTGCATCAGCCACCAAGTCCCTCTGCCCCTGTAATTTCACAGCTCAGCAGTTCCTCCTCAAGAGTGCCCAGTCTCTCCTGCTGCATGGCCGGATGAAAGGACAAAAAGCCTTCCTCCTTTTGGGATCAACCCTGCCGTAGGAGCACTCCCGTGAGGAGTGAGCCTGGAGAGAACGAGGCAAGAAGAATAGTGCCACGGACCACCAACACACCTAACTGCTGGGTTATTTGACGTCATACCTTCATGACACAAGCACTTCAGTCGTTGAAGCCTTACTCATTGCTAAGCTATCCCACTCACTTGCGAGGTGTTTAATTGTGAGTTGTCCAGTGCAGACACCTCCCTTTACCTCCCAGAAAGAAAACAGACCACAAGGAGCCAGCCTGATTAAGCTACAGAGCCCATTTCCGTGCAAATCTAAATCGGTGGCTGCTGACCCATTAGTAAGCCCTAAGAGGACACCGCAAGGTCCAAATTTCTTCACTATGAGCGGATCACCAACAGCTTGAGGTGTCGCATGGCTAAGTCACATCACATGTGATAAGCTACATCACACTTTAGATCTCCAAGCAACAACGCCATTACAGAATTAACTTAGCTTGCATTGTCATTCTTCAGTCACTGCAACACCACATACAGTATGGGTTATAATAGGGGTAAAGCACCAGATGTGGGTTTCACAGAATTATGATGAAAAGGAGGTGGCAGGGGCACTGAACTCAGTATGCACTGTGTTTTTATAACTTTTCTTCTGCGTTCTGTAGCTGCACAATTGTTGCCACAATAGGTTACATCACAAAAATGGAAACAACGTACAATATCTAGAAGTCTAGATCATCTGTCTCAAATAGCAAAGCAAAAAAGTAGACGAGTTTCTACTGCCCAAGTTATAAAAGTTCACATTCATTCAAGGTTCCTATGGCTTGAGATGATACCATACTTTCTTCCAATGTAGAGTAACAGACCACCCTCCGCCCCCAGAGCCCCAGTCCGCGAAACCCAAGGTCAAGCAGCCGAGACAAAACAAAGCAAACTCCTGGGAGATTATTCCTGCCGTCAGTATCGGTGCAGGAGGACAGGAAACCCGGAGCCATGGCACGCCAGGCACAACCAAACTATCCGACATTAGATGAACTTCAAGCACTGGGGCCTTAACCTTTGATGTTATCATTTGTGCTTCTCAATGGGCCTGTTCACTTCTCCAACTGCATTTTTCAAAAAACATGACCGATTCGAGGCCTTTACCATTTACGTGAGGTTGGATGGTTACAAAATGCTGCTTTTAGTTTTTCCATCTACATGAACTATTAACTTGCTTTAGTGCATAATGGCATTTACCAGCTTGACTGGAAAAGTACCACAATCTGCAAAGGCAGAGCTTCAAAAAAAGGTAACACAACTGTTCCAGAACAACAGTCGCAGGACCCAGTGAGATGGCACATTGTACCGCCAAGCTGTATGAAACGTGGGCTAATAAAACCCACTATTGCGTTCTCCAGAGGACTGTAAAATACCTTCCGAAACATGTCATGCAGATGAAAAAATGTTTATTAGAATCTTTTCTAAGGAAGCAAGTATACTGTTCAACAATTACAACCCTACTGTGCAATCCACTACCCCCGTTCTTGACACTGAAAGAACAAGAAATTGCATGTAGTCTGCAGATCTTTATACTGAATATAAAGATCTCAACTTAAATAGCAATGGAAGACCTATGGCCGTTCTACATGTCAGTGGATGGCTTCAATGAGACCACATCTCACACCAGTTGAAGCCTTTTCTGCTAATGGGTTACAAGTACACTGAATATACATCTCTAATTACATTATTCGTAATGGACATTAATTTCCTTAAGTCATGTTGCTATAAGTTGCATTTAGGAACATAACTTGGACGTATAATAGAACCCACTGTATTTGAGCAGCTACAAGTGAAACTCAAACTTATATTCCCTAACCTGACTCTTCTCCTTTAATTCTCATGAGAAAAGCCTCCAGCTCCAAGTGTCATAGTCACAACCCTCCATATTTATTGTTCTTAGGGGAAATTATTCACCTACATAAATCGTTCTGCTAGACATTGTAATTTTCTCCTCCCTAGCCCCAACTTACATCAGGAATCCCCATTTTAGGAGAATGGTCTCACCTTCTGACATCTACACCAACACATTGAGCTCTGCTATACTGAACAAGTGGTCAGGTGACGTTGATCAACAAGGAAGAGAAGACGTCCAGTTGGCTTTAAGTACTGCAACCAGGGGGGAAAGGGAATGAGGAAGCTACCAACAGACCTGTGTCCACCTGGGTTTCCACGCGTTTGGGAGAAGAGCTGGGAAGAAACTTGATTTTGAAGCCAGTACAGCAGCCTGGCTGCCCGACTGCCGGTGGACAGGGAATCAGAGAAGTCTGGCGAGAGCTAGCCTTCTGCTTTTGTTTTGGGAAAAATCCCTTGGACTCTGTCAAGAAATGAGGGCCATTTCTTTACCTTGTGGCTGCATGTGTGTGTCCATTTACCCAAGACCCACCTGTTAAAGATCCTTGTTGGAACACCAGGGAAAGACGCGCGTCTCAACTCCAGACCCCTCGGGACTGACGCAAGTAGCCAAGCAATCCTCTGCACTCAATTACCAGAAACCAATAACCTACAGTACCACATGAGTGAATGGCTCAGAAATGTATTACGCAATGCCTATAAACAATGAGATAAAACTTAACCATAAAGGGCGGGAGTGGACGAGGCAATGCTGCCCACGCTACTCACTTCATGCGGTCGTTGCTAAAATGCTTTATAAGAAAGGAACTTTACACAAGCAGTTGTGGAAGTATGGAACAAGTTACCCAGCCCTCTTGAACTGACACCCCAACTTCCT